AAAGTGAGTTTTAGTACTGGTTACAATGGGACAGACCCGCGGCTGACTGCTGGACTGTGAGCGATTATCCCTCCATCCCCGGTCCCACCCGGGAGAGGAGACTTAGCAACAACCTGAGCAATGTCTGGTAGCTGACTTTGAACTTACTTCCAGGTACTCCACCTGCAACTGCCTCCCTGACTGGTTCTTGTGAACAGGAAATAAAGTCGAGTGCCGTTTATTGATTGACTGATTATACAAATTGGTCAACATGCGCTCTGCTGATTCCCTTGGCCTTCCGTCAACACGTGCTCATCAACCCGTGAGATCCTCTTACAGAAAACTGTGCTTCCGTCAGAACCTCATCCTCAGTGCCAGAACAGTCAAGAACTGTGAAAGGTCTCATTTCACCCCACTTTCAAATAAACAGGGTGACACAATTTCAGGGATACTGGCAGAAGACATGAGGTCTCTGGGTCAGAGATAAAGGACTTCATCACAGCACAGCAAGTGGTATGAACGTGAGCATATTTGTCACTTCCTCTTACCCCCAAGTCTCATCAGTGCAATTCAGGTGAATTCATGTGGACGCCTACACACAGGGTGAGTTGTGTTACGGTAGAGGAACTCTGAGCTTGGGCCATATTTTATAATGGGCAGTAAGTATGCCCGCCCTTTGCTCTAGAGGCTCTTTGTCCAAGGCTGGTCACTATATAAGCATCCTGGGAAAGATAGCTCAGCATAAAGGGAGTGTCTCTGCTCGGTAAACCTGCATTCGTGTGAGAGGCTGGGAGACAATGTCTCCTACCACCTCTCTCCTCCCATCTCACTAAATCCCCACAGCAACCCTGCCAAGTAGGGATAACTGACGCAGTTTCACAGGTGAGGGACTGGAAGTCCAGAGAAATGAAGTGAATTACTCCTGGTGACACAGGCAGTAAGCAGAGGACCCAGGATCAAACCCAGGCCTACCTGATTCCAGGCCAGTGCCTTGTCCACCCTCCTGCACAACTTGAGGGATGGAGGGGCTCTGAGGAGAGGAAGGTGATGGGAATTCCCCGGAGTAACGGGAGAGAGGGGATGCAGGGAGAGTGGGAAGAGGTGCGGGGGCAGGAGCCAGATTCGTAGGACTTTGGAGACCATAGTAAGGACTTTGGTTTTTTGTCTAGGTGTGACGGGGAGGTGCCAGAAGGTTTTGACCAAAAGAGCAATATGACATGTCTTTTTTAAAATATTTATTTTCAAGAGAGACAGACAGAGAGCAAACAGGGGAGGGGCAGAGAGAGAGAGGGAGACACAGAATCTGAAGCAGGCTCCAGGCTCTGAGCTGTCAGCACAGAGCCCGACGCGGGGCTTGAACTCACCAACTGTGAGATCATGACCTGAGCTGAAGTCGGACGCTTAACCAACTGAGCACCAGGCACCCTCTGATTTTATGTCTTAAAAGCATTATTGTTGGGGCGCCTGGCTGGCTCAGTCAGTTGAGCATCCAACTTCGGCTCAGGTCATGATCTTACAGTTCGTGGGTTTGAGCCCCGTGTCGGGCTCTGTGCTGACAGCTCAGAGCTTGGAGCCTGCTTGGGATTCTGGGTCTCCCTCAATCTCTGCCCCTCCCCGGCTTGTGCTCTGTCTCTCAAAACTGAATAAATGTTATAAAATATTTTTTAAGCATTATTGTTTCCTGTTCTGTAGAGTGGGGATAACGGTAGTACCTTCTGGATAAGGCTGTCATGAGGAGTAAATGAAAGGGATTAAACAAGAGAATGAGTGCCAGGGGCTTAGTTCGTGCCCGGAAGACTAAGCTGTTGAGGGGAGGCTGGCCATGCGCATGAGATGAGTTTAGGATGGGGCTGGGAGCTGAAGCGGATGGGTCTGGAGGGTCTGTGCAGACAGAGTCCAAGGGTTTGTCTAGTCAGCTTGGCAGAACTGACCTCGCGTCAGGCTCCGAGTCCGGAGCGCGATTGCCTAAGAGGCTGCTGGTAGATGGAGAGAGTGAAGAGGGGCACAGGGCTCTCCGAGTAAGCAGGCGGCAGCAAGGATCAGAAAATGGCAGTTCCAGGGAGTCTATGTAGAAGGAAGATGGGAACTAGAGGACAGCACTCAATCTTCAGGTAAGACTGCAGAAGCATGTGCTGTGTCGTCAAAGAAGGAAGTTGCTGGGCGCCTGGGTGGCTCAGTCAGTTAAGCATCCGACTTTGGCTCAGGTCATGATCTCACAGTTCGTGGGTTCAAGCCCCGCGTCGGGCTCTGTGCTGACTGCCAGCTCAGAACCTGGAGCCTGTTTCAGTCTGTGTCTCCCTCTCTCTCTGACCCTCCCCTGCTCACGCTATCTCTCTCTCCTAGAAATAAATAAAATATTTAAAAATAAATAAATAAATAAGTAATAAAAAAAAAAAGAAGGAAGTTGCCGATTAAATTATGGGGGTCTAAATCCTAGCTCCTTCTCCCCTGCCCTGGTGTAGAGCCCTAAGGCACTTCAGGCTGCACATCTGGGGACCACTGCCTGCCCTGTCTGGCTGGCTTTTCTAAATCTAATAAAGGAGAGAATATATAAAGAAAAAGAATGCAGGAGGGAGGGAAAAATCAAGATCAATGTTCAGGGAGCACGAGTCATTTTTACAGAGACCCAGTTAAAAAACAAAATAAAACATTACTGTCAAAACAATTAGGTCCCTGAGCCTCACCATCCGTTGGGAACCTCTCGCAGCCGCTGGACCAGCACTTGTGCGTGCCCAGTTCAGCGCTCTTCACTCAGCCAGAGTTTTGGGGGCTTAAGCTTTTTTTTTTTTTGTTTATTTATTTTTGAGAGAGAGATGGAGCGCGAGAGGGGGAGGAGCAGAGAGGGAGACACCGAATCCCAGAGGCTCCAGACTCAGCTGTCAGCACAGAGCCAGACGCGGGGCTCGAACCCACAGCTTTGAGATCGTCGAACCCACAGCTTTGAGATCGTGACCTGAGCAGAAGTCCAACGCTTAACCGACTGAGCCACCCAGGCGCCCCGTTGAGGGCTTAAACTTCAACAACAACAAAAGTTAGGGGCTGATTTTTGCATCAGTCCCAGGCCTTGGGGCTAAGGGAGTCGGCAGGCCCGAACTCCGACACGCAGAAGGGGGTGGCAGTGTCTTGAAATAGGCTGAAAGGAATACAAAGGGAGAACGACCCGCCTGGCCTGCCTTGCCGGCTGAAGTGAGAAGTACAGAGGCTCTACGCGCGCGTAGGGGCCACTAGTTCTCATCAAGCGTGTCGTGATGACGCCACTGCCCAGCCTGCCGGGTGCGACCTGTGCGGAAAGGGACACCCGAGAGCAGGTGGAGGCCAGCGGGGATTTCTCCAGCCAAGCGGTCCTCTTCATCTGCGACGGGTAGGAAGGGCGACCACGCGCACCCACTTTCCGGGTCTGCGACCCGAGCGGCGTTACCCCGAAGGCTCCCCTCCCGCGCCCCAACCAGCCCCAAGTTCGCGGACCTGCCTCCGGAGGCGGGGCTCGCCAACGGTTCGCCGCCGGCGGCCACGCCCCACTCTGGGCAGATTGACGTCTGAGAGGTGCCGTTTCCGCCCTCATCCTGGGACTGAGTGGAGGGGGCGGAGCCGAGTGGAAAGCGCTCTGCTTGTACGTCACTTCCGGCGAGCCTAGTGGCGACAACGGCAACATGGCCCTGAACGGCGCTGGTGAGGACTTGGGCTGCGGGGGCCTGTGGTTGCGGGATACAGGAGGCAGCCCGCTCGGGCAAGATCCCTCTGTCACTTGTGACTCTCTTCCGCCAGAAGTCGACGATTTCTCCTGGGAGCCCCCCACCGAAGCGGAGACGAAGGTTCTGCAAGCGCGACGGGAGCGACAGGATCGCATCTCCAGACTCATGGGCGACTACCTGCTGCGTGGTTACCGCATGCTGGGGGAGACGTGCGCGGACTGCGGGGTGAGGAGAGACTCGGCACGGTGGGATCGGGGATGGGGCCGCGGCCCAGGCCTCAACGGCCCTTCCCCAACTCTCCCCTCGGGATTCCATGGCCCTGCGTCTCACCCCTGCCCCCGTGCTTTCCGCTTCCAGACGATCCTCCTCCAAGACAAACAGCGGAAAATCTACTGCGTGGCTTGTCAGGAGCTCGACTCAGACGTGGATAAAGATAATCCGGGTGAGGGGTCGAGTGTGCTCGGTGGAGAGGCGGCGTGCTCATAGAAGCCCGGGGACAGTAGGTTTGAGAGGGGACAGTGGAGTCTGCGGGCGGGGCGGAGGCAAGGTGCTTTCTCCTTTCGGCTCTAGAGAGGACCATTCGTCCAGTAAGAGCACTAAACACCTACTGTGTGCACACACTGTGGAGAGTCTGCGCTCCGCGGGGCATGGTCCTGATGGGATGAGAGATGAATCAAGGGCACCAATAACTTTGACACAAGGAAGAAAATGGATGGGTTACCAAATAGAGGGGCAGGAAAAACATATTAATCGTAGGAAGAGCAGGAGCAGTGAAGAGTAAGGAGGTGGCTCAGGGCTGAGCGGGGACAGGCGCCCTGAGCATTCCACCCCACTTCTCCTTTTGTAGCTCTGAATGCCCAGGCTGCCCTCTCCCAAGCTCGGGAACACCAGCTTGCCTCTGCCTCGGAGCTCCCTTTGGGCTCTCGGCCGGCCCCTCAGCCCCCAGTACCTCGGCCAGAGCACTGTGAAGGAGCTGCAGCAGGGCTCAAGGCAGCCCAGGGGCCACCCCCTCCTGCTGTGCTTCCAAATGCAGATGTCCTGGCCTGCACGCAGGAGGCCCTCCTGCAGAAGCTGACGTGGGCCTCGGCTGAGCTGGGCTCTAGCACCTCCCTGGAGACTAGCATCCAGCTGTGTAGCCTAATCCGAGCTTGTGCCGAGGCTCTGCGCAGCCTGCGGCAGCTTCAACACTAAGAGGCCCCTCCTGAGAAGAACCCTCTAGAAAAACATCTGTCCTCTTGTGTGGTTTGTTCTTTTCCTGGTTCTGAGTTGCATGCCAGCCCCACCTCCATGAGCCTTTTTCCTGCCTTTAGCCTCTGACCCTGCTACTGTCTGCTCTTCTTGATTCCCTGAGAGATTATTTGGGCTTGTTTCTTCTGCCTAGTTTCCCCGCTCAGAATGAGGGAGGACGGAGAGGAATATGTGATGCTTTTTTTTTTTTTTTCCTTTTTCTTTTTTTTTCTGAAGAGGAGGCCAAAGCCTCTTCAAAAGCAGAGGGCAGAGGGGTGGACCTCTCCGCGCCCATGGAGCCTCCTCAGCCAGCCAGTGCTCATTTCCCATGCTTGAATGAGAGTTTGGGGTTCCAGTCCCCTTTGGTATCTTCTCCTTCCCCTGAGCATTCTGATACCGCCATCCTGCCCCGCCTCACACCCACCCCAGGTACTCGGACAGGGTGGTAGGGACCAAGTCTGACCCCCCCCCCCAACCCCCTCGTTTTAGATCCCTTCCCTTGGCAGTTCTAATTGGGCAGAATGATTAAACATATTGTTGTGGGAGGAGCAAAAAAAGAACCGCGTCGGTTCGCCGCTTTTGGTCACCCGCACCCCTTTTCTGGTTCCCTTCCAGTGGACGCCCCATTTCCTTTTCTCAGCTTTTCTGAGAAGTGGTCCCACCACCATGGCCCTTTTAAGGGAGGCCCCGCCCGTGCGAAGGGGGTGGGGCAGGGGCGGAGTCGGAGGAGTCGGGGAAGGAACAAAGCGCGGCCTGCGGGTGGCGGCTGGGCTCGGCCGGCTGGGCCGCGCGGTGCGGGGCCTGCGGGCGGCGGCCCGGGCGCAGCGTGGAAGGGAAGCAGGCCGCACCGGGGTCCGCGCCGGCCGGGCCATGAATGGGCTGCCCTCGGCTGAGGCGCCGGGTGGCGCTGGCTGCGCCCTGGCCGGGCTCCCCCCGCTGCCGCGCGGCCTCAGCGGTCTCCTCAACGCGAGCGGGGGCTCGTGGCGGGAGCTGGAGCGCGTCTACAGCCAGCGCAGCCGCATCCACGACGAGCTGAGCCGCGCCGCCCGCGTCCCAGATGGGCCCCGCTACGCTTCGGGCGCCACCAACGCGGGACCCGCCGCTGGTCCCCCAGGCCCGCGTCGTCCTGTCAATCTCGACTCGGCACTAGCAGCGCTGCGCAAAGAGATGGTGAGTAGCGGGCCCCGGACTAGCTGGGCGTGGGGGGTGGGGGTGGGGGTCTGCCTCTGAACGTGAGGGTCCAGGGTGGAGCGGAGGGCAGAGGCACAGAGCTGGGAGCCCGTAGCTTGAGTCTCAAGATCTGCAGGAGCTAGCTGGGTCAGGGGGCATTGGTAACAATAATTATAGTTACTGTTTATGGTAGTGGTTACCATGTAGTTGTAAGTGTTTAACTTGTGTTATTTCATTCCATCCTGCTGGATAAACGTTACCCTCGTTTTACAGATGAGGGTCAGCGACTTGCCTAAAGATTCACAGCTTGCAGGTGGCATCTGATGTCCACAAAACTTTGTGCTGAGAAAGGTGCGGGAAGATCGGCTAGCGCAGAGGGTGGCCTGGACCCCAACCCCAGCCCACCCTCAGTCTCTTGCAGGTGGGGCTGCGGCAGCTGGACATGTCCCTGCTGTGCCAGCTGTGGGGCTTGTACGAGTCAATCCAAGACTATAAGCACCTATGCCAAGACTTGAGCCTGTGCCAGGACCTGTCGTCCTCCCTGCACTCGGACAGCTCCTACCCACCGGACGCTGGCCTGTCTGACGACGACGAGCCTCCCGATGCCAGCCTGCCCCCGGACCCGCCACCCCTCACTGTGCCCCAGACGCACAATGCCCGTGACCAGTGGCTGCAGGACGCCTTCCACATCAGCCTCTGAAGAGCTGGGGGTGGGGGGAACATGCACCCATGCAAAAGGCTCAGAACCTAGCCCGTAGTAAGTACTCAGACTTCCAGTGCCTGCTTTCCCCAGTACCACCTCACTTCACAAGAAGGCAAGGCCTGGGCCCCTCAGAGGGCAAAATTGCCGGCCCCCTCTCTCCTGACTCTGGTTAGCTGGCACTGGGGCAGGCACCCGGGCTGCAGCCTTTGCCTGTGGCACTGACCTCCACTTCTCCCACGTGTGTGGGCCCCAGCTTGGCCAACCGTCAGTCGTGGTGATGGTGGTGGTGGTGCCCAGGGCATGTGGCCCTCCCCTTAGCATCTCTGGGATTGGGATGAGTGCCTGGTTCCCATCGCCTTTTCACCTTCTGCGGCTTCTGGCAGCTGCTGGCTCAGGGGCACCCCACCTCTGGTCCTTGGGTTCCACTGCTCTAGACCAGGGCATTCCCATTCCTGCACCCACCCACGGCCAGGAGGGCCAAGGCTCCATGCTGGGTATTTAAGTTGAGGGGCCAGAACTCCTGGGCACGCAGGTAAATAAATACTCTCTCAGCGTTCTTGTGTTCTGACTGCCTGGCTCTGGGGCTGGGAGAGAGCGCGGGGTTTCTGGCAAGTGCGGCCCCGCCCTTCGCCGGCAGATGGCGCCCAAGACCCCCCCGAGTGCAAGAACGGCTCGCCGGTGATGGAATGTGAAACCTCCTTCCCCCGACGGGGTTGGGGAGCTGGCCGAGCTGGTCCCGAGGTTCTGCGACGGCTGGCGAGTAACTTCCCCTCCCTGGCCGGATATCTAGGAGTCCAGCTCTTCTCCCCCCTCCGCTCCTCGCTTTGGTCCTTTCTGGCCCGGCGGGAAGGAAGGAGAAGGAGCCGCCTCTCTGGAGAGAAACTTTCCACCCCCAGTAGGGGCGGAGTTGGGGCCGCACAGGAAATGGGTGGGCCTGAGCCAGCGGGCCTTGGGGCCCCTCGGCAGGAGAGGGGAAGGCGCCTCCAGGAAGGGCCTGGGAGCTAGTGAGTGCTCTTTGGGTGGGAGGAAACAGCTGCAGAAGCAGAATGGGGTGAAGTTGCGTTGGCCCAGGCCTCCCTAGAAGCCACACAAGCCCTGGAGGGGAGATGGGGGGAGGGCCCCGGGCTTCCAGTGCATAAGACCCAGCTTCGATGAGGCCCCCATTCCGTACTTACAGGCCGCCTGGCTCCCATGTCCACTCGGAGCCTTTAGAGTTATACGTAAAGGGCTTTCTCTTACAGAGGAAACCGAGACCACGCTGCTGGGTCTGGGAGCCAAACCCAGGTGTCAGGCTCACTGGAGGAAGCCTGCACAATTGGGGATAGTGGGTGCTCAGACCTCCAGGCACACACAACAACCCCCATAACTTCCTGAGATGAAAAGCAAAGGACCTCGACATTGCACACCTTAGGCCCCACACCCTGCGGTACAGCCCTTTGCCTCCTGGACGAAATGGCAGGCACTCCTTGCAGACCAGCGTTCCTATTCATCATATTAAGTAGTAGCCTACAGTCCATTCCCAAGCCTTGCAGAGCGCAGGCAGGGAGGGAAAGAGACTAACGCGCTGTCCCAGGGCAGGTCTCTAACTCTGGGCCTGGTACGCAGGTGCTCATTACCATGCTGGGCCAGCAGGTAGGCGATAAGCATTCTAATCTAGGTGTGAACAGGGCGGCTAATGCCTGGGGCAGGCTTTTTAGGGCAGGGAGACTAAACTCCTATGTGCGTGCACAGGCACACTTTCCAGTCTGTGATAACGGATTCCATTTATTTGTTTCGAGAGAGACAGAGATAGCGTGACCAGGGTAGGGTAGGGAGAGAGAGATTTCCCACACTGCCAGCGCAGAGCCAGACACGGGGCTCGAACTCACGAACCATGAGATCATGACCTGAGCAGAAACCAAAAGTCGAACTCTCAACCTGCCGAGCTACCCAGGCGCCCCAGATAACGGATTCCATTTAATGAGACCTCAGAAAATCAGCCAGGCTCTGTTCTAAATGCTTCCCAAGATTCCATATTCTCAGTGACCGTGTAAGAGGCAGAACTATAATTATCCCTATTTAACAGAGGTAGAAACTGAGGCTCAGAGTGTTAGTACTTTGCCCAAGGTCACACACACTGGTCGGAAGTCACCTGCTTGTGTGATATTGGGGCTATCTTCCCACTTGACAGTTAAGGAGTCAGGACTGGTAAATGGGTGCTGCCCACAGGTAGGGCCACCCAGGTTGACCCCTGACTCTCTCTCCTCCGTCCTACTTAGGTTAAGACATACGTGGCAGCAGGAGTCTGCCACCCGTGTTGAGGACAGTTGGCTCTGGCCCAGATTCTCAGTGTGGCCCTGAGCAAGTCTGTTCTTCCTGGGTCTCTGTTTCCACCACCTGTGAAACGGGCCCAACAGTACATACCTCCCAGAGCTGCGGGCAGGAAGGGTGGCGGCCAAGGCAGTGGCCCAGAGGGCGGCACCAAGTTATTGGTTGCTCTCTCCCGTGGCCTGCGCGTCCACACCGCCTCGGCGCGCTACGAGCGGGCGCTGCGGTCCAGGCGTCCCCCTCGGTTCCCCTCCCCTCCCCGCCGACCGCGGCCGAGGCGCGAGGCCCCGGAAGCCGGGTCGCCCCGCCCCCCCCTCTGCTCCCGCCCCGGGTCCCGGCCCCCGCCCCCGCCGGAGCCCCGCCCGCCTTCCGACGGGGGTGCGGCTCCAGGAAACCGCGCGCTCGCCGCTCAGCGCTCCCGCGACCCGACGCGCCCCGGACAACCCGCCGACTTAGCCGGACCACCCGGCGGGCCCCAGCGGCCGCCCCGGGGAGATCGGCCCCGGGTCCGAGCCTCGAACATCTCCGACGGACGGGGCGGGCGGCTCGGATAGCAGCCCGGGAGGCCATGGGGACCCAGGGCCGGCCAGCGGTCGCGGGCCAGCGGGAGGCCCGCGTCTGAGGATCCGGCGGCGGGGGCGGCAGGGGCCATGACCTCGGTGTGGAAGCGCCTGCAGCGCGTGGGCAAGCGGGCCGCCAAGTTCCAGTTTGTGGCCTGTTACCACGAGCTGGTGGTGGAGTGCACCAAGAAATGGTGAGTGACAGGGAGGCCTGGGGGACTCCGCAGGCTGGCTGGGACCCCGTGGAGAGAACCCTGCCCCCAACCTAGGGGCCAAAGAGGCCCCTTGCCGGCCCCCGGCGTCCCAGACTGAGACTCAAAAGTGCCTTTGCAGTTTGTGGGACCCCTAGATTTGGCCGTGTGGGTACTTGTTGGGGAGTGGAGGTCAGACTTTGCAGGCCCCAGAATCCGTCTGTGCCCACACCTTCCTCAGCTGCGCTCAGGGCTGGGGGAAGGGAGGCCTCTTGGTTTTTTGACCAGAGGGATGGTTCCAGGTGGCATCGGAAAAGGGAGCGAATGTTGAGGTCTGCGGGTGGCTAGGCCAGGGCAGAAACCTCCGTGGGGCTAGTCCAGCTCGGAACAAGGATGTTGCCCGCTCCTCCTCTGCCCACTTGTTGAGCCAGAGGAATGAAAACACACACACACACACACACACACACACACACACACACACACACACGCCTCGCCTTGGCCAGAGTGGGTGCTGGGAGGCTGGATATGTCTCCACAATGTCCTTAAAAGGGGAAACTGAGTACTGAGAGGGATGAGGAGGGAGGCAGGGACTGGCTTAAAGCTTAAAGGGGCCTGAGGACCTGGGAGGAGCGGGCTTGGGGAGGGCGAGGTGGCCGGGTCAGGGGCAGAGGTATGTGAGAGAGCACAGAACCTGGCTTGGACTGCCAAAGGAGCCAGGGGCATCTTGTTCACATGGCTCCCACCCGCAGCTGCCCGGACCCCTGCGTCACACCCTAAATATACGTGCTCACTGGTGTCGGCTTCCCTTGGCTGGATTAGGGCACAGCTGTGGGGGCCTCACCCGGCAGGCGGGGCTAAATTTAGGCTCCCAAGAGGAGGAGCTGCTGGGGCAGGAAGGGACCACGGGGTCCCCAGGGAGGGGAGTGAGCTGGAGGCTAGGGTCCCTCGGGCAGCATCCATATCCCTGGTTTTGCCCCGGGCCAGCTGGAGGGCCGATCACTCCATTTGGCGAGCCCCAGAGAAGACAGGGGCTGACTGGGGTAACACAGCAAAGGTCTAGGACCTGAACTCTGGTCTCTGCTTCTACCTTCTGCCCCAGCATCCTGGGTGAGCTCAAGGGGCCACCACTCAAGGCCTAGGGTGCGGGCAGTGTCAGTGCATCAGAGTCACGGGGGCGGGCAGGGCCTCCTAGGCCCTGAGCTAGGAGCCCAGGCGAGGAAGCTGCCCCTGCCCAGATCTCAGGCTCCCCGGCGAGGGCGTGCCTGGCCTGAGTCAGGCTGCCTGGCCAGGCCCCGCCCTCTCTGGCCACCCCTGGCTGCTTCCCCTTTCTGGGAAGGCCCCGGTGGTGGTGGTGGTGGCTACCTCTGCCCCGCCATCGCCTGCAGTGTGGGGTTGGGGAGAGGAGCTTGGCTGCAGGCTGGCGGGCTCTGGGTTTTGGCTTTGTGACCCTTGCCTGGCTCCCAACCTCTCTGGGCCTTGGGATCCTCAGGGGTTGACAGGAGAGGGGCAGTGAGGTGGGTAAACCTAAGCATCCCAGCATGGGCTGGGGACAGGCAAGGAGGGCTCTCATACTGGCCCTCAGAGGTAGTAGCTGAACTCTCTAACCCAAAAGGACCTTCTCCCCACACCCGTGTGCGTTATCTCTGTGGGGCTGGGCCCGGAAGGCCCCGGGGGGGGGGGGACGTCTGATGACAAGCTGACCCTGTGTCTCTCTGATCACCTCCCACCCTCTGTCCATCACTCTGACCCCAAGTCTCCCCAACTTCCGCCTCCCACCAACCTCAGTCTCTTGCATTTCCCATCCCTTCTTGAGCCCTCCTTCTCCGGAGCTTCACAAGCCTATCCCTTCCCCCACTCGGGCCTCCCTCAGGCACCCCAAGCTCCAGGAGACCCCAGTGGCTCTGTCCCATCTCCCTGAAGTCAGCTTGTTAATTTATTTTCTTTCTTGATTGGCACCCCACCCCCACCTCTGTTGCCCTCAGCCCCTTAAGAGTTTCAGTTCTCCTGTGCTGTGCTCCGCCCCTAACCTGGGCTGGGTTTACAGTGCACACTCCCCAGATATTTGTGAGTGATTGGGTTTGTTTTACTCCAAGTCTGTCTCTCCCTGTGTCTCCTGCAGGCTCCTTGCGGTGTTTCATGTGTCTCTCTCTGTCTCTGTGTGTGCCTGTCTCTCTGTATGACTCTGCCGCTCTTGCTGCCTGTCTTCATAATCCCTGTCGACCCACATCTGGGCCTTTGCCCTTCTGCCCTGGGCCTCACCCCTGCCTCAGCAGCCCCACCCTGCCCCTGGTGGCTCCAGATAATGGGCTGTCCAGTCCTTCTGGGGTGGGGGGGGAGGGAGGTTGTGGGCAGAAGGAAGACCCTGGAGGAGTTGGAGAGGCTGGGTGGGGTGGGTGGGCCTGACTGAGTAGCCCCCTCTCTCCCCACCCCTAGGCAACCGGATAAGCTGGTGGTGGTATGGACCCGGCGGAACAGACGCATCTGCTCCAAGGTGGGGGAGGTTGTCCGCTGGGGGTCCAGGTTGGGGGTGCGAGGAAAGTGGGTGAGAACTGATGGGGGAGTGGAGTCGAGTTCGGGTTTGGACCAGAAGCCACAGAAAGGGGGATCCTGCGTGGCTCAGTTGGCTGAAACTCTGACTTGGGCTCAGGTCATGATCTGAGGGTTCATGACTTTGAGTCCCGCGTTGGGCTTGCTGCTGTCACCTCGAGGATGCTTCGGATCCTCTGTCCCCTTCTCTCTGTGCCCCTCCCCTGCTTGCATTCTCTCAAAAACTAAATAAACATTAAAAAAAAAAAAAAAGAATCCACAGAATGGAGAGAGATGAGGTCAAGTTTGGAGGTAAGGGCAGGGGACAAGGGGAGAGTTGAGTCAGGAGAGGCTTCAGACTGCTCGTTGCAGGCCCACAGCTGGCAGCCAGGCATCCAGAACCCATACCGGGGCACCGTGGTGTGGATGGTGCCGGAGAACGTGGACATCTCTGTGACCCTATACAGGGTGAGTCTCTAGGCCTCCTGCATAGGTGGGAATGGGAGGGGGCGGTTACAACCCAGGCAGCCACGGGGGTCCCAGTGGGTTATCTGTCCAGATGAGAAATGAGGGGTGAGCCCAGGAAGCAGGTGGGGGTGGGGGTAGCCTGCTCAGTGCGGGTGGCCCAGGAGGTCTCTCTGGAGGAGGCTAGCGTGCACACAGACCTGCCACAAGTAGTGTGGGAGACGGCCGGCCCTCCTCCCCACCCTGCTCTCACGCCGGCAGCCCCTATACTCACCAGCGCCCCCTTTTCCTAGGACCCTCATGTGGACCAGTATGAAGCCAAAGAGTGGACGTTTATTATTGAGAATGTGAGTGGCCGGGCAGGCCAGGGCCTGGGCTCTTGGGGTCTCGTGGGACAGCACTGATGCTCCTTCCCCGGGCCCTTCTCCCCGGCCCACAGGAGTCCAAGGGGCAGCGGAAGGTGCTGGCCACCGTGGACGTGGACCTGGCCCACCATGCGGGGCCCGTGCCTGTCCCGGTCCCCCTGCGGCTGCGGCTGAAGCCTAAGTCGGTGAAGGTGGTGCACGCGGAGCTGAGCCTCACTCTGTCGGGGGTACTGCTTCGCGAGGGCCGTGCCACGTGAGTGCCCATCCTCCTTCCTTGACCTTAGTCTGCAGTCTCTGACCCCAGCCCTCACCCCTGACCTCTGAACCCTCCCCCCCCAGGGACGATGACATGCAGAGTCTTGCGAGCCTCATGAGCGTGAAGCCTAGTGATGTGGGCAACCTGGACGACTTTGCTGAGAGTGACGAGGAGGAGGCTAATGGTCCAGGCGCCCCCGAGGCACGGGCCCGTGTCCCCCAGCCAGGTGGGCTCACAGCCTGCCATGGATTGAGATCACCGAGACCTAGGGAGGGTGGGGGATAAGCTCACCCGTAAGCCGCTTGCTGTGCTGGACCAGCGGCGGCTTGGGCAGGCCCCGTGAGGGGCTCACTACGGCCCGGGCAGCCCCAACCTGCCCGGCAGCCCGGACTGTCCAGCCTTGGCTCCTGGTCCCGCGGCGGCCTGGGTTCTTAGCTGAGTCCCGCGGGATGGGCTCCCTGAGCCGCCGGCCCTCTCCTCAGCCCTGAGTGGGTGCCTGCCTGGGCCGGTACCTGCCCTGAGATGACAGGGCCAAACGCACAGAGGGGAGATGCAATCTGAGCTCGCCAGCCCTCACCCCCTCACCCCCCCCCGTGCTCCATCATCAGCTTCCTCATCCCTCCCTTTTGCTTGTTAAGGCTTTGTTTCTGTCTGTCCTGGTGGTTCCCTCCCTCTCTCTCTCTCTCTCTCTCTCTCTGCATCGGAGGGCCTGTCTCTTCTCGCAGGCCGGGGCGGTGCCCTGAGGCTGGGGCGTTTCCCAGGTAGGCCCAGGACTCTGGCTGGGGGGCGGGGGTCAGACCTGCCGGGCCCTCCTCTGGGCTGACCTGCCCCCCCCATCCCCACCCCAGATCCCTCTCGGGAGCTGAAGACACTTTGTGAGGAGGAGGAGGAGGGCCGGGCACAGCCCAAGCAGGCAGGTGAGACCCAGGCTGGGGTTGGGGCCGGGGAGGGAGCGCACCTCCAGTCTCAGGGCCCAGGCCTCAGCGCCCCTCCCTCCCTTCCTCCCCAGCTGCCAACCCTTCTAGTGCGGAGGATCCTGGCCTGGCCCCTGTGAGTGCCCCTGCGCCCCCAGCCAGGGCCTCCCGGACCCAGGGGTCAGAAGCAGCTACTGTGGCAGGGGGCCAGGTGGGCCTCAAGGCCCCAAGGCCCCCGGGAACCCCACCAGAGCAGAGGTGAGCTTGGGAACGAGCCCTGTCCTCTGCCCACTGTTAGAAAGCTGCACCCCTGCCAACTGCCTTTCCAGTGCCCTAGCAATCGGAAGGGTGGGGGTGGGGCTAACAATGGGGAGCCAATGGGCTCCCCAATGCTTTCTCCTGCTCTCTCCTCAGGTCTTCAAGACAGCCAGGCCAGGAGGTGGCCCCCACCCCAGCCCCTCGGCTCCGGAAAGGCTCTGATGCCCCCTGGCCCCCAGTCCCCCAAGGGGAAGATGAGGTTCCCAAAGGCTCAGGGGATCCCCCAGCAGGAGTGGGTTCTTCTGGGCAGACCCAGGCCCAGGAAGGCCTGCAGGAAGGGACAGAGGCTCAGGGAGCCAGGCTGGGCCCAGGCATTGAGGATGGGGGCTCCAGAGACTCTGGGGGAGGGCCGAAACCTAAGGTTGAGGGGAGGAGCACCGGGATTGGGGGGGTGGACCCTGAGCAAGAGTCAGGAGGCAGAGAGGTGAACGCTAAGAGGTCAGACGTCAGAGCTGGGGAGGCCGAAGGGAGTTTAGAAGGGAGTCAAGTGGCTGCTGAGGAGATGTCAAAGCTGAGACTTGTGGACACTAAGGGACCAGAAGCTACAGGGGTGATGTCCGAGGCAAGATTCAAGGGGACTCCCGAGGCTCCTCCAAGGGGCTCTCAGGGGAGGACAGGGGCCAGGATCAGGGATGAGGCTCCCCCCATCCTGAGCCGACCCCCAGCAGAACCTGCAGGGCACGCTGGGCATCTCGGTGACGTCAGTGGGGCCAGGGGTGCTGCAGGCCAGGAGAGAGAGAGTGCAGAGGTGAGAGGCAGAGCCCCTGGTGTTGGGGGGACAGGCCTGGAGCGGGGTCCCTCTGTTGGAGCGGCAAGCGCCGGGCCCCAGGTGAGCGGGTATCAGGGAGCCCCACCAGCAGCTGGCCAGGGGGTGATGTCTAGGGATCTGGGGGTCTCGGAGGCAGAGACTCGGGATTCGAGGGTCCTGGGAACAGAGACCGCGGTGGCTGAGTCAGAGGTACTGGGGACCTGGGAGACCGAAGTGGGTGGATCAGGGTTCCCGGAGATAGAGACAGGGACAGCAGAAGCTGAGGCGCTGGGGGCCCAGGAGACAGAGATTGTGAGATCGGGGGTCCTGGAGTCAGAGGCAGCTGGCACGGCAGAGTCGGAGGACCTGGGAGCCCAGAAAACAGAGGCTGAGGGTTCAGGGTTTCTGGGGACAAACACTAGGACGGCAGAGGCTGAGATATTGGGGACCCAGGAGGTAGCTGCTGGTTCAGGCGTACTGAGGCCAGAAGCTGCGATAGCAGAATGTGAAATACTGGGGGCCCAGGAGCCAGAGGCGGGGGGGCCCAGGATGCTGGAGATAGAGGCTAGAACAGCAGAGGCTGAGATACTGGGAACCCAAGAGGCCAAGGTGGGGGGTTCAGGGTTAGAATCCGAGACAGCAGGGACCCAGGAAACAGAGGTAGGGGGCTCAGGGGTCCCAGGGTTCGAGACTGAGACCGCAGCAGCTGAGATACTGGGGACTCAGCAGATAGTAGCTGGGGGTTCAGGGGTTCCTAGGATAGAAAATGAGATACGAGCTCAGGAGACAGAGGTGGGGGATTCAAGGGTTTTAGGGCCAGGAGCTGGAATGGCAGAGGCTGAGGGACTGGGGATTCAACAGACAGAAACGATAGTTTTAGAGGCTGAGAAGGAAAAGGCTAAGACTTTGGGGGTCCGAGAGGCAGAGACTGGGCTCTGGGAGACTCTCCAATATGAAGCTTTACAGGAATCCGTCACTAAGTGTGGAGTTTTAGGGCCCCAGGGAGCAGAGGCAGAGACCATGGTTTTGAGGGCCCAGGAGGTAGAAGCTGAGGTTTTGGGAGTTTCAGAGGCCAAGTCTGCGGCTTGGGGGCCCCAGGAAGCAGAGGTGGAGATTTTAGGGCCTCTAGAAAACAAATCTGGTATTTTTGAGGCCCAGGAAGCACAGGCTGGGGTCTCAGGGGCTGAGAAGGGACAAGAAGCTGAGGGAAACCTCCCAGAGGCCAGCCTGATTGAGGTGCAGGTGGCCAGTGGGGCAGGGGCTGGGGTGCCCAAGCGCTCGGGGGCCTCTTCCCCAGAGGAGCCTGAAGAGAACGGGAGGCTGCCGGGCAGCCAGGTAGGGATGGGGGCCGCCGAGGGCCCAGTCCGCTGCTTCCCACTAACCTGGGGCTGAGCTAACGGCGGCTCTGCATGGACCCACCTGGTCGACTGGGGTGTGGTGGGACAGGGGCTCAGCTTCAAGGAGCCCCCCCTCACCCTCTCCTCTCTCAGGATGCCCTGGCTACCCCCATCTGTCTTCCCTGGGCTGCATGGACCCGGACACCCCTAAGCTGATTTTTCTGGGCTGACCTTGAGATGTGGCTGCTGGTGACCTCTGATCTTGCCTGGGGGCCACTGACCTTTTAGGTGACCTTGGTAGATAGCCTCAGAGCTGGAAACCCTTTGCCTGGTCCCAAGGCTCAGGCCAGCGGCCTCTGGTGACCCCTGCAAACCCAGAGCCAGGACTGTTTTGTGCCCAAGGGTCAGAAGGCACAGGTCCCGTGTTCACATTCCCTGAGCCCATCCCTGTGTCCCTAGGCACCACGTGCTCTGGTCAGCTCCAGTCAATCCCTGCTGGAGTGGTGCCAGGAAGTGACCGCTGGCTACCGTGGTGTCCGAGTCACCAACTTCACTACATCCTGGCGCAACGGCTTGGCCTTCTGTGCCATCCTGCACCGATTCTACCCAGACAAGATGTGAGCTGCCAGAGGGGATGGGAATGAATGAGGGGGCCTGCTGGGAGGGCGGTGTGATTCCAGCCTCTGACCCGCCCTCTCTCTGCAGCGACTATGCCTCCCTGGACCCACTCAACATCAAACAGAACAACAAGCAGGTGAGACGGAGAGGGGGCAATGCCTAGAGCCTGGCGGTGGGTCCAGCAGTTAGGGTCGGTCTGTCTGTAGGGGAGGAATCTATGAGCTGCGGGGCCCCAGCAGTGGGTTTTAGAAGTTCTGCCACTTTTACCCCTCTTGGTCTTTAAACTGTTCGTTTTTCTTAGTTTAGTTTTGTTTTAAAGCCGATTTCCACTAGATGGTTTTTCCAAAACCGCCCTTTGGTGTGCAGTTGCTGGGTGACGCGGGGGCGGGCCCTGTTGCTCCAATATTTCCCCCAATAGAAGGGTGAAGGCGTTGCTAGGCAAACCCTGGCGTGCCCGTCGCCCGGATTCCTCCGGAGGTCCCGGGCGGGGCCCGCAGCGTCGCCGGGTAACGCCAGCCGCCGCTGACCCCGCGCGCACCATTCCTAGGCCTTCGATGGCTTCGCGGCTCTGGGCGTGTCGCGGCTGCTGGAGCCGGCGGACATGGTGCTGCTGTCGGTGCCCGACAAGCTCATCGTCATGACGTACCTGTGCCAGATCCGCGCCTTCTGCACCGGCCAGGAGCTGCAGCTGGTGCAGCTGGAGGGCGGCGGCGGCGCTGGCACGTATCGCGTGGCCAGCGCCCAGCCGAGCCCGCCCGACGGCCTGGACGCGGGGGGCCTGGCGCAGCGGCTGCGCGAGCACCGGGCCGAGGCGCCGGAGGAGCCCAAGGGGCCCAAGGGGCTCAAGGAGCCCGAGAACCGCGCGGACGGGGCGGCGCGCGAGGCGGCCTCCAAGGACCGCGGAGCGGAGGCCGTCCAGGAGGCGCGCTCCGCGGAAGCCCCTGCAGACGGGGCCGGAGCCCGGGCGTCCGCGCCCCCGGCCGAAGGGCTGGTGAACGGGGCGGGGGCGCCGGGCGCTGGGGGCGGCGTGAGGCTGCGGCGGCCGTCGGTCAACGGGGAGGCGGGGCCGGTGCCCCCGCCCCGCGCGCACGGCTCCTTCTCCCACGTGCGCGACGCCGACCTGCTGAAGAAGAGGCGCTCGCGGCTGCGCAGCAGCAACTCCTTCTCGGTGGACGAGCCGGACGCGGGAGCCGCCGGAGCCGCGGCCGCGGTGAGTGCCCTCCTGGGGCGCGGGGGTCGAGGGGAGCGGGGCGCAGAGGGCTGGGTCCTGAGGGGCCCCAAGGGCCGCGGCGGCGCAGGGGCAGCTGGACGCGGCGAGGCGCTTTCTGAGTGGAGGGACCGTGGTGCTCCGGAAGAGACCCCCCCCCCCCGCGGCGAGGGAGTGAGTCTCTGCTCAGGGGACACATGGAGGCCGGGGGTGGGGGGTGGGGTGGGGGGCCAGAGCGGCTGCCTGGGCAGAGTCTCCACCTTGGCTGCCAGCCTTGGAATCTATGCTAATGGGTTTTAGTGCCTGACACCCAGGTAGTGGGATCCTGGGCCATAGTAGGAAGTTTCTAGGAAGCTCCCTTGTTGTCAGCACGCGGCAGGCTGCTCTTCCTGGGCTGTGAAGTGGGTGGTGGCGTTCCTTTCCCTGCGGTCGCCCCTGGGTCCAGCACCACCCACCATTGCCCTGTAAGCTGGGAAGGGTTTCTGCACTCAACGGGGCCAGCCAGGGCCTCCCCGCCCCCGAGGATCTCTGTTTTGGATCTTTAACTCCAGATCCTGGAGACACATTCTTTGATACTGGGAGGTTGGAGCTAGGAGACCCTGCCTGGTGCCAGTGTTCCTGCCCCCCACCCCCACCCCTGCATTTCTCAGGTTAGGGTCTCCTAGGGTGTCACATGGTCATTGCGCTGAAGGGGAGGTGGTCCCAGAGAGGGCAGAGATCTGCTCAAGGACAAGGGCCACCAAAGAGGCTTCCCGGCGGCTGGGGTTCCTTCCACTTGCTGCCCCCATTCTGCCTGCCAGGCCGCTCCAAGCCTTTAGCTGCCTAGGGGATGACCTCTGCGTTCCAAAGAAAGGGGAGAATAAACCACGAAAGGCTTTCTGGATGAAGCAGCCGTGTGAGCTAGGCTGATAAGATGGGCAAGCTTTCTCAGATCAAAAATGGGAAGAGATGGTTTTCAAGTGGGGGGACCTGCTTAAATAAAAGTGCGCTAGAAGCGGGAAAGCTCAGGTCTCCTTTCGGGATCTGCCGGTCATCTCCCGTAAGCTCCGCAGATGACCATGAGGCTCGTTTGGAGAGCGGAGCCTTGGGTGGGTTGGAGGCGCAGCACTGTGAATGAGAGACGGGGAGGGCACCAGAGGCACCCATGGGAGACGTGATAGGCAAGGGTCAGAGGGCCACAGCCTCATTAATGTATGTTACTGGCTCCTTAAATCTTTTTTTTTTTTAATATTTTATTTATTTCTAGGAGAGAGAGAGACAGTGTGAGCAGGGGAGGGTCAGAAAGAGAGGGAGTCACAGACTCTGAAACAGGCTCCAGGCTCTGAGCTGGCAGTCAGCACAGAGCCCGACGCGGGGCTCGAACCCACGAACCGCGAGATCATGACCTAAGTGAAAGTCGGACGCTTAACCGACTAAGCCACCCAGGCGCCCCATGGCTCCTTCAACCTTAAAGGGGAGGCTCCGTCCTCTGCCCTTCTCTGCCCAAGTCCCAGCATCTGGTCCTTCCAAGCCAGACCCTTCCTGAGCCCTTGTTCCACAGGAGATCCGTGACCCAAGGGGCTGGAGAGGACTCCTCCGTATTGGCCATTCCCATCCCCCATGCATGCAGGGGGAGGAGGTCAGGCCTGTCCCTGCCCTGGGGAGCTCCCAAAGTCCTGGATGGGATGAAGTCAGGCACCTTGAAGCTGGGGTGGGGCTGAAGCAATGCCGAGAAGAGGGCAGGGTGCTTCTGGTGCAGCCCAGCAAGGCTTCCTGGAGGAGGAGCCACACATGCGGGTATAGAAAGGGGAACTGGGTCAGACGTGAGGAAGCAATGGAATTCCCATCAGGGCTGATGTGAGTAAGCTCAGTGGCTGCTGAGGTTGGGCTTTCTCCTCCACTCTTCTGTCTCTGCCTGCTCTGTGGGTGGAGTGCACGCTGTGTGCCTGGCCCTGCCCCGATGACCCCATATCTGCTCCCAACTGACTTCTCACAGTGCCCCTTCCAGGGAGGAATGACGACCCCATTTTGCAGGTGGGAACAGTGAGGTTCAGGGAGATGAAGAAAGAGGCAAAAAAAGTTGAAAACACCTGTGAAGCCAGAACTCTTAAATCGTGCGCTCTACTAGGCTCAGCCCTGTTGGCTGGCTGTGTGACTCTGGGCAAGCCACTTAACCTTTCTGTGCTCTTTTCCTGAGGATGAGAAGCAAATGCATAAAGTCCTTCCCAGAGTGGCCTTGAGATCCTACTTCAGGGTGCTGTCAAAAAAGGGGAACTGTGTTCTTCCCCAGACACTTTCTGGAGCCCTGCCGCCCCCAGGCTCCACAGGGTTCAGGTTCCTCTCACATCCAGAGACAAACAGAGGCCCAGGGGGTATGACTGGCCCAGGGGCAAACAACCAGTTGGTGGCCCAGCTTGGGAACACAAGACAGCCCTGGGTCCTAGGCCAGGCCCTATATGAGTCTCAGCTCCGACCTTCAGTTTCCTGCTCTGTGAAGCGGTGATGGTATAACCCCTGAATCGCAGAGCTGTTGAGGGGACTGACGGAGTCAATATATGCACCATGTTGAGTGCATACACGTCTCATCAACATCCATTCATCGGTGGGCCCTGAGTGTCTTCTCTGGACCCCACCCTGTCTGCAGGGGCTGCCTCTGGGCAGGGAGACACAGATAACCAGCAGCTCTGATCAGGGTGCACGCAGGGATGGAGGAGGCCTGGGAGGCCATGGAAGGGAGCACTGTCCAGGCTTCAGGAGGGGTGAAGTTCAGGAAGGGAGACAGAAAGCTGTGTGGGAGCCCGAAGGGGCCTCATGGAGGTGGAGCCGAGCCGGGTCAGGAAGGTTGCTGATGTCAGGCATCTCCAGATAGAGGCCAGTCCAGGCTGAGGAAGCTATTTGGGGAAACGAAAGTCCATTGCTATGGCCAGAGCCTGGCGTCTGGGTGGGGTTTGGGGTATGAGGAGTTGAGGCTGGAGCTGCCGACAGGCCTTGGCAACAAGGCTGGGCACTGAGCGGGGTTGGGGGACATGGAGTGACACCATCAGGTGAAGGTTTTAGGAAGACCCCTCGGTTGCGGTTTGAGGATGGAGTCGGCAGGCAGCGAATGGGTAGTGGCCGCTGGCACAGTCGCGAGAGGATGGCATCTGACTGCGGTATGTCCAGGGACACTTCTCAGAGAAGTGCAGGATGGCGTGGACAGTGGGGCAGTTCAACCCCTCCTCCCCCCGCTGTGACCTAGAAGGGCGGCCCAAGCAGGAACCATCAAAGGCCGGGCTATCTACTGACCTGAGCCCCCAGAGATGACCCTCAACCCCTTCCCAGCAAGTCGCCAGGGGCAGGGCACATTAAGGGCCAGCCCTGCCCTTGCAGGCTAAAACTGGCAGGTCCAGCCCACCTGACCCATTCGGAATGTTCTGTGAAGATCTCAGCAGTCTGGGCGTGGGAATTGATAAGGTGGGAGGGTGCCCCCTTTTGGCCAGGATATGGAGGTGCTGGCCCAAGATGGCCTAGGTCTGGAGATGAGGTGCATCAGGTGAGTTTGATGTCACTGTGTGGGCCCCTGGCCATGATGGAGACTCAAGCACTATGTGATGGGAGCCGGAGGTGGCCTGAGGGAGCTCCCCAGGAGGAGGGGGAGAGAGGGAGAGGCCCCAGCCGGGCCCCTCACAGCTTTTCACCCCTGACTCTCACAAAAGCCTTGTAAAGCCCAGCCCAGGGAACAAGGACTGTGAGGCTCCCAGAGTGCGAGTGGACTGGCCCGGGATCACAGGGCCAGGCAGAGGGAAGGCCATGGCCTTCCCTTGGGGAGGCACTCTTCTTGGTGGGGACGCAGGGTGGAGTTCCCTGCAGGTGGGGCTGGAGAAGCCGCTGGGGTGGGCGGGGCCTGGACAGAGGGCCTCTCAAGCCCTGTGCGTGTGCTTGAGGCTCTGGCTGGCCCTAGGGCAGGGCTAGTGGGGAGCCCCGCAAGCCCTCACTGGCCCCTTTCTCCACAGGAAGGCCTGGGCCCTGACCCCAGCCCTGCCCCTGGCCCACCTACAGCCACAACCCCGCAGCAGCCCCCTGGTGAGTAGTTGTGAAGGAGTAGTGACCCAGCTCAGCTCAGGCTGCTCACAGATCCTGAGCTGGGGACGCCCTGGGGGCAGGTGTCGGACGGAGGTGCCTTAGCCTGCTCTCTGTCTGCAGGTGGGAGTCCCCCACCGGAGGAGCCACCCCCAAGTCCAGGGGAAGAGGCTGGGCTGGTAAGGAGGGCTGAGGAGGGAGGAGCTGGTGGGGGCACTTCCTAGGCAGAGCCTGGGCTGAGCCCACCCTGCCCACCCCTCCCCTTCCGCAGCAACGGTTCCAGGACACAAGTCAGTACGTGTGCGCAGAGCTGCAGGCCCTGGAACAGGAGCAGAGACAGATAGACGGGCGGGCAGCTGAGGTGGAGACACAGCTGAGGAGCCTCATGGAGTCAGGTGGGGCGGGCATCTGCAGTCCACTTGCGCAACACCTGCCCCCAGATCTGCCAGCCCTGCAGCCCTTCCCCATCTGGGGAGGAGTTGGGAGGAGGCAAGGCTGGGGTCACTGGCCCCACTTACAGCCGGGCAAGGGAAGCAGCTGGCTGGGGGCACCAGGCTCTGGCTTCTGGGATGGGCGCCGTAAGGAAGCGAGCCCCAGTCCCCAGCCACCTTACCCTTGCCACCTGGGTTGACTGGCAGGCCTGGTGACCGGCCTGGCCTGCTTCAGGTGCCAACAGGTTGCAGGAGGAGGTGCTGATCCAGGAGTGGTTCACGTTGGTCAACAAGAAGAACGCGCTCATCCGTAGGCAGGACCAGCTGCAGCTGCTGTGAGTGCAGCCCCTCCCACTCCAGGCCCCGCCCCCGGCCCGCCCGGGGCGCCCAGGACAGAGGGGATCTTGGCCGCTTTGGTTAGACCTGTTCACTGCTTTTTTTCTTTCTGCAAAGGTCTTTTTGAAAAGTTGTGCAGTCACCTTATTTTTTCCTCTCAAAAAGTCCTGTATAAATTGTACGCCTCTTAAATTGGCACCATTCTTATGAATCAGAAAACCCAGGCGCGGAGAAAAGTGTGGTACAGGCAAGTCACGGCCCAGTGCCTGTTCTTTTGACCTTGTGCCTTTACAATTAGAAAAGCTGAGGCCCATGGAGATCGAGCTGGTTTCAAGTGGGGTCAAAAGCGACTCTTGACCGTGATTGCTTTCATGGTCCTGCATGATGAAGGCGGTTTTGCCTCCCTTTTGCATGAGTCATTTTTCAGAATAACTTTAGTGTCTGATACTTGCTGATTATGAATAATGTTCATTCAAATAATCCTGCAAGGTTATTTCTTACTTAAAAAAAAAAAAAAAGAGTGCCTGGGTGGCTGAGTCGGTTAAGTGTCTGACTTCCGCACAGGTCATGATCTCATGGCTTATGAGTTCGAGCCACACGTCGGGCTCTGTGCTGACAGCTCAGAGCCTGGAGCCTGCTTCGGGTTCTGTGTCTCCCTCTCTCTCTGCCCCTTTCCCACTCAGTGCTCTGTCTCTCAAAAATAAACATTTTAAAAAAAAGCAGTGGGGATGGGAGGAGATAATATAAGCATCTAGCATCTGGAGAACAGTTGGAAAGATGAGTTGGGGCAGGGACAGGGGTATAGCGGGTAATGAGGTGGGATGGGAGGCCAGGGAGTAGTCAGAGCCCTGGGACTCCTACCTCTCCTGTTCCCGGTTCCTCTGACCCCCACCCCCCACCCCAGCATCGAGGAGCAGGACCTGGAGCGGAGGTTCGAGCTGCTGAGCCGGGAGCTGCGGGCCATGCTAGCCATCGAAGGTGGGAGATGGGGCCCGGAGGGGCTGAGAGCCCGCACAGAGCAGGGGCGGCAGCCTCCTGACCCTCAGCCTCCTCTGCCCTCAGACTGGCTGAAAACGGCCGCGCAGCAGCACCGAGAGCAGCTTCTGCTGGAGGAGCTGGTGTCGCTTGTGAACCAGCGGGATGAGCTGGTCCGGGACCTGGACCACAAGGAGCGGATGTGAGGGGGGGGGGGGATCACGCTGGGGGGTGGCGAGCGGTTAGGGGCGCACTCCTGGGGAGGGCGCGCTCTGGCCTGGCCGGGGTGGGGGTGGGGGAACAGACGAGGGCCGGAGCGACTCTGACTTTAAGCCGCTTCCTCCCAGCGCCCTGGAGGAGGACGAGCGGCTGGAGCGGGGCCTGGAGCAGCGGCGCCGCAAGCTGAGCCGCCAGCTGAGCCGGCGCGAGCGCTGTTCGCTGAGCTGAGGCCTGGCCCACTCGGACCGCAGGCTTTCTCGCCACTGCGCCCGGGTCGCCGCCCCAGACTGGCGCTCTGAAGGACCGGGCCACACCGACGCGATGCAACGCAATGCAACGTGCCAGCCGCAGGGGCTGCAGTTGCCCCCGTGTGTTTGGGGGAAGCGGGGCGGCCCCTGGGGGCCAGACAGGAGCGGCTGGACGGCCGTGCCGTCAAGGCCGTATTTATTTGTCTGTGTGAGTGTGTGTGTGTGTGTTCGCGGGGCCTGGGGGTCCCAGGAGCGCCCCGCAGAGCCCTCCCGGATGGCAGGGCCCCAGCCGGCCAGCGGCGGGGGGGGGGGGGGGGGGGCACAGAGATGGCGGGTGAACCGCTGTGCCCCGCCCCACCCTCCCTTTCCTGATCTTCATGAGCAATAAAGTTGGACGAGGCAACACCATGCCTGTCTTTCTCAGCACTGGGGCTTTCAATAGACGGAAGGGGGTGGGGTTAGGCCGATAAGGCTGTCTGCGATCCCAAGTGGGGCCGCGCAGGCTTTGAGGTTCCCAGAGGCCTTGGAGGGCTCTCCTTGGCCTTTGCCTTCCAAGGATGATGGGGTCTAAGGGTGATGGGGTTTGGGTCGCTGATCGCTTTAGGGGTCCCATTTTGAAAGAAGGGACAGGAGAGTCGGGGTTATTGCCTTTCCCCTTTAAAAAAAATACACGATTGTGGGAGATCCTTACAATCATGCCCTCCCCTCCCATCTCTGGAGGGTTCCTCCTCAAGCTTGTCCTGACGGGAGCTCAACTCCATCACCAGGCACCTGTCAGCAAGTTGGGGCCTGTTCTGGGGCTGCAGCTGAGGGTGGCAGGGTGTCCAGGGCCAGTTCCTCTTGGCCTATGATGCCACTTTGGTCTTCAGCGGTCAGTGGGCCGTTGGACCCAAAGAACTTCACCACGGCTCGGACCTGGGGTAACTCTGAGAAGGTCTCCACAGCCAGCAGCATGGCCAGGAGTCCGAGGAGCAAGTAACCTGGTGAGGAGAGGTTGCTAGTGCAGCAGGGCCAGTCACGCTCCCTGCCACCTCCCAGCCAGGCGGCCTGGCACCCGGTGCCACTCACAGGCAGGTCTTCCAACTACAACTCCCACACCACAGCCCGGGGCGGCGTCCTCTGCCTGTGCGGCTCAGCCTCCCCAGCGGTGTGCGGGAGTCGTAGTCCAGGCTCCTCTTCCCTCCTCTCTCCCTCACGCTCCTGGGCAGCTGGACTCACCGAGAAGCGCAAGCTGGCCGAGGCGGTAAAGCGCTGGATGCAGGCCACGGCCGTGGCCCGGCAGCAGGTCCCCCAGGCCGATGGTGCTGAGTGAGCTGAAGCAGAAGTAGATGGCCCCCGGCAGGCTGCAGTCCCCCTGGAGGCCCCACAGCACCAGCGCTGGCAGCAGCACGAAGGCACCAGCCACTAGGAGGCCCAGTCCGGCCGCCTGCAGCAACGCAGCGCTGGCCGGGGCCAGCTGCCACTGGACGGCCACCCATGCCCCTGGGCGGCTGAGCAGAGGCAGCAGGCAGTGGCGCAGTGCGGCCAGGAGTGCTAGCGAGGCCGGCAGCCCCAGGGCCGCGTAGACCACACAGAAGGCCTTTCCACCTGCCGACAGCGGGGCCGTGTAGCCATAACCTGGAAAGGAGAGAGGAAGTGGGCAACTGAGCGGGATGTCGGCTGTGGTCCCCTGTCCCGCAACGAGGCCTCTGGCAGAAGGCTGCCCTCTAGTGGCTGAGATGGATGGACCTGCTCCCGCCTGTGGCTGCCTTTGCTCCTCATGCGCAGGGGGTCTGGGGCAAGTCCCTCCACCTTTCTGGCCACCCTTTTCTGGAAAATGTAAAGATGAAAAGAGGCAGGAAGCCACCTCAGGCCTCTTGGGGCTGGGACAGTTCTGAGAGCTGCTACCCTGCCCCAGAGGAAGCTTGGTTGTCTCAGATTCCTCAGCTCTGCCCTTGACCAATACAGTGCTTTCCACACCCACTGGCAAGAACGTTCCACACTCCTCCACTTCCCTGAGGTGTACTGAGGCTCCCTGTGTGCCAGGCCTAGCACTGGAATCTGAGTCTGCCCAGGCCCTGCCTTCTGGTGGAGGAGACAGGCAGGAGTCAGTGAAGTCAGGCAGCGTGTGTGAGAGAGGGCAGTCAAGACTGGAAAGGCATGAGCAAGGCGGGAGAGCAGGGTGTGCTGGGAGAACAGGACCAGCTAGTCCAGAATGCCTAGCTGGTTGTAAACTCGAATGCCTAGCGGGGCCAGATGTGAGACGAGAGTGGCACGTTGGCCTGGAGACGACGTGCTGTGTCCAAATGTGCGGGCCATGTTCCTCTCCAGATCGTATGCTGCCTTCCAGGGGTTCTGGCTCAGGGTGAACAGGTTTCCTGATTGTCCAAATGAAGTTGGAAATACAGATCTACGCGACACTTAGACACTCTACATGTTTGCACAGATGATGTCCACTTCGCAGGACAAAAAACCTCCAGGGCCGTGGGTCCCATTCCTTTCTTTCCTTGGGCCTTCACACATGCTGTTCCCTCTGCCAGAAATTTCGTCATCCCTCATCTCGGTGCCCTCCCGCCATGGCTAACATGTCATCAGGACTTCCTCCCCCAGCCCAGCCACTCCTCCTGAGTCGGTGGTCCTGATCTGTACTCCTGGGTTCACTCCATTCCCCTCCATCGAAGAATCCACCCCACAATACCCGTTCCCTACCTTGCCTCAGGCCACAGGGCCTGGGCATCTCTCCCAATGTCAGGGGGCGTCGGGGTGTGGCTGAGGAGGACACACCCTGCCTGGCAGCTGAACTTGAGGTACCAGTTGGGGTATCGGTGTGGGAAGCCCCAGCGGTGATGTCAGGCCGAGTCGGGCCTGGGCTCTGCCTGCCATTTGGGGGCTGAGTAAAGGGCTCCCCCCTAGGGCCCCCTCAGGAGCCCCCTCCTGCCCGGCCGCCTGGCAGCCTTACCCGTGGTGGTGAGGATGCTGGCGGTGAAGAGCAGGGCGGAGGGCAGATCCCAGTTGCCAGCCTCTGAGCCATTGCCCCAGCCGGAGACCCCGCGCAACTGGGCAGCCAGGGCGGCGGCCAGCAGCTCCTCCAGGGCCCCAGGTGGCAGGCAGGCCCCATAGTCCGCCTGGAAAGCGGCCAGCTCAGCCCTGAGCTTGGCCTGGAGCTGGAGGGCTGGAGGCCCCTCCAGGGCTTGGAGCATAGCAGCCCCCATCCCCAGGGCCAGCAGGTGGGCCGCGGCCAGTAGTGGGAGTCGGGCCCAGGGCCTTAGAGGCCCCATGTTGTGCCGCCTGGGCTCGGAGGCAGGCGCTGTGGGAGCTGCCGGTCCACAGGCACCTGGGAGGGGCGGGGCCGGGTGGGGCTTGGGGGAGGGGCCGAGGGCAGCCATAGACGCCAGCGACTCGCCAGCGACTCTCGGAGGAAGAGTGTGAATGGGCTTGGAGGGGGTCTGGGTCCCTCCTCCTAATTTCTGGGGACCAGACATTATTTGCCCAATTCCCTGGAGCTGGGGAGATGGGGGCGGGACAGAGCAGGATGAGGCCCAGAGAGAGAGAGAGAGAGACTGGCTCAAAGTCACCTGGAGGGTGGCTTATGCAGGATGCAGGGGGGAGCCCGTTCAGTCACACACACTCCATGCACCCCCTCAGCAAGCCCTTCTTTTTCCTGAGGACACTAGACAAGAGGACCAGACACAGGTCCCTTCCCTCCTGCCACAAGAAACCTGCTAGCAAGAGAATGTGACAAGTTTGAATTGTCACACATGCCCTGAAGTTCTGGGGGAAGGCTCTGGAAGAGTGGAGAGTGACGTTTCAGCTGGGGAACAGATGAGGCCAGTTAAGGTGGGAGAGAGCTTGGGGGGTAAGAGGAACAGAGGCTGGCCTTGGGGGGAGGGAGGGGTCAGGACGCAGGGCCCTGAGGCAAGAGTGGCCCAGGTGGATCTACAGGGAGGGGGGTGCAAGGGGGGGTACAGCAGGCAGCCTGCAAGGAAGAGGGGACAGGAGTGGGGATTTGGGGACAGTTGGGTGGGGGCAGGGCAGTGAGCTGAGAGGAACCAAGGACGCCGCCCAGAGGGCCCCAGACACATGATGTGCTCACACCTCCATCCTGAGTCCTGCCCCACTGACCTCTGGGGACGGGGTGGGCCGGGCTGCTAGGGTGTGTGCAGAGTCGAGGAGCCTAGACTACTCCTCCCCTGAACCACGGAGGGCTGAGCAGGGCTGAGCGCAAGGGCCCTGCCCTGGGGCCTGGTGTGGGGGTGGCCCCTCCTCAGAATCCTGCGGCAGTGAGGAGTGTGGGCGGAGCCATGAGCCAGAGTGGGTCACACCTCCTGGGTCCAGACCCTGGAATAGAGACAAACCCTGGATAAGCCCCCAAGATTCTGCCCAGGGGGCTCTGGACTCCTGAGCTCACTCAGCAAGCTTCCCCGGGTGGGAACCGCACAGCCGGGGAAGACGCCCCAGGAGAGGTCATGTTGCGGCTGGGCCCTGAGGATAAGCGGCAGGAAGAATCAGGGCGATCCCCAAAACGGCAGGGAAGGCCCGCCAAGGCTGGTGAGAAGGCGGGTGAGACCAGCGCATGTGGGTGCCAAGGAGGCTGAGGAAGGGCCTGGAACGCCTGACTGAGGCCAGTGCCCTTGGTCCCAGCCTAGGTTCAGGCCAAATGCCCCTTGTGCTGAGGGCACAAAGTCACCAGGCTTGTGTGATGGGTTGGATCCCCCAGTTACCTCCAAAAAGGTGAGAGGCTGTGCTTGGGGAGACAGCTTGGGGAGTTTATTTGGCTTCATTGGATCCCGAGGCCGAGGCCCCAACCCTGGCCGGGGCGGCAGGAAGGCACCCAGAGTCCTGGCCCCGGATGGCCCCCAGGGTGGGGGGTGGGGAGGGTGTCCAGGCACTAAGCCCCGGGGCAGGGGCCACAGTAGCAGGGCTCGGTCAAAAGTGCCGGTGACCGCTGAGGCCAGCCCCTCTCCCCTGTACTTCCCCTCCTTCCTGCACCACCCCTGGGCGCGATTCCCTGAGACAGGCTCTGGTCCTCCCAACCAGCTGGGTACAGTGTCAGGCCCCAATGGGGCAGGTTTAAGTCGGGGGACCCACAGGTTGCAGGTGTGTGGGGGGTGCAGGCTCCCCCCATCCAGTGTGAAGGCTTCCTGTGCAGTGTAGTGTTCCTGACCCCCAGAGGGGGTGGGGTCCCTGGGGGAAACCAAGGCAGCTACAGAGGCTTGCCCGGCTCCTGTTCCAGTGTATGCTGTGGCTCCTGCAGGGCAGCGGGGGCGAGGGGGAGCAGCCCAGCCCACTCAGGGCCCTGCCTCCGGCGCCCACGGGGCCTGGGCACCTATGTCTTTGGTCTGTGCCCTGCAGTCCTGAGGGCCCCCCCGGAAGGGGTTGGCAGGTGGAGAGTCCCAGAAGGGGTCCGAGTCTGGGAACAAGGTCCAGGGTGCCCGGCGGGGCGCAGGCTGTGGTGAGGACAAAGGCGAAGGCCGTGGCCCGGCTGACACGAAGCTCCACGGGTCGATGCGGCTGCGAAGGGGTGACGGTCGAGGTCGGCTGATGAGGCCCAGGGGCGGTGAGCGTGGGGTGCCTGGGGTGCCGGGAGCAGAGCGTGATATCCCTGGTGGGGGTGAGACAGCACTTCCTAGGAAGGGTGGAGGAGGGGGCACAGGGTCAGGCGGCCACCAAATCCTGGGTGTCCCCAGGAGGCACTGCCCACCTCTGGGCCTCAGTTTTCCCATCTGCGCAGTGAGCTGCTCGACTCATAACCTCCATGGCCCTTTAAGCTCTGCGGCGCATCTGTTTAATCACACGGTGGTTAACAGCAAGGCCTCTGGAGTAGATGGGGCGGGGGCTTGGATCCCAGCTCTGTCACTTACTGGTGGGAGCCTTGGGTCCCTTATCTCTCTGTGCCTTAAACGTCCTCATCTAAAAAATGGGTGTAGCAAGAGAATCCCGTTCACAGGCCCAGCATGTAATTGAGACCATCTCTCTGCAGCACTGGGACGGGCGCCTGGCACAGGTAAGCCACCGTAGGCGTTTGCTGTCATCTCACCAGGATTATTTCTGTTCTTTCACAACCTGCCTGGGCATGCCCCCCCCACCCCCCCACCCCCGGGGCCCACACCGGGTGGCCGAAGTTAGAACTCCGTTCCCTCCAGGCATCCCCAGTGCCCTGAGGACCCGGTCTGGGATCCAGCAGAGGGCTGTGGCCCCAGCCTTACTGCCCTGCATGTCCCCAGCAGCCCCTCCTCTCCGCTGTCACCCACAAGTAGGCCTGCTTCGGGCCACTCACCGCGCCTCTCCTCCTCGCGCCGGGGACTCTTGGCTGACAGCTGGCCCACGGGGACCCCCAGCTCCAGCAGCAGGGGCGCAGGGGTGGGCAGGCCAGGGGCATCAGGGCTCAGCGGGGAGGCAGGGGCGTCGGGCCTCTTGGGGGAGAAGCGGATGAGCTGGGATGAGGGCGGCTCGGCAGGGGACGGAGTAGGCAGCTGTGCGCGGGGCGTTGGCGGGGGCTCCCCGCGCTCCCGGCCCGAGGCCCCTGGCGACGATGGCGATGATGGCGGCTGCAGGTCGCGGCCCAGGCCCAGGGAGGCGAGCAGGGCGGTGCCGCGCAGCAGCGCGCGCTGGATCAGCTTGGGCGTCCCAGAGCCGCTGCCGCGCTCCGCCGGGCCTGGGCGCCGAGGCTCCTCCGGCTCCGGGCTCGGCCGCGGGGGGTTACCTGGCAGCGGGAGCAGGCACACGTTAGGCCGCCTGGGGGCCCTCAGAGCCTCTGGAACAAGGACTCAGTTCTGCTCCCCACCAACGTCCTCCCTGACTCCACTCCGCCCCTACCCGGTTCCTCCCTACCCACCGGCCTCCCAGGCCCTCTCGCTCCCTCCCTCCCTCCTTCTCTCTCTCTCTCTCACACTCTCTGGTCTTTCAGAAGTGGCAGGTGTGGGGATGGCAGGCAGGCTGAGGCACCTGCAGGAGTAAAGCCTGGGAGGCAGCCGGTGCCTTGGAGCCCAGAGATGGGGGGTGCGAAGGGGAGGCTGGGTCCCCCGGGAAGCAAGCTGAGGTCAGCTCACAGGGGCCATGGCCAGCCAGGGGCATCTGCAGGGCCTCTGGGACAAGGCTGGGACCAATACCCTGTGCCCTGTGCCCACCTTCCCCGCTGGTCAGCCCTGGCCTGCCTGCCTGTCACTACTCCATCAGTACCCTGTACAGGCACACGGGTCAATTCCAATGTAGTGACAGCCTGGGGAGGTACATGTCACTGTCCCTATTCTAGATACGAGGAAACTGAGGCTCAGAGAGGTTACTTGTTTGTGCCAGGCTCGAGCTCAATGATGCAGGGGCATTATGTTGTCTGATCCGCTGGCCCTAGGGTCTCCAGTCTCAGAGAAGTTACGGGCTTGTCTGAGACTGCACAGCCAGTGAGGGTCGGAGATGGCTTCACTCCAGGTGGAGGCAATAGAGCCTTGCTCTCCGCCATTTCCTAGCCAGGCTCTGCTCTGGATTTCGGAACATCAGTGTCCTACTTGTGGGCCCAAGGCTGGCCTGACTCCATTCTAGTCCACGAGGGGTAGGTCTGGAGAACCTGACGTTGGGAAGGTGGTGGTGGCAGGGTCCTATGATGGCCTTCCACAAAGCCCAATTTCGTCAGGTCCTCTTTGGCTCTAGAATCTGCCATGGCTCTCCATTACCACTAAAATAAAGTCCCAAGTCCCTTGGCTGGGCCTTCAAAGCCTTCCTCTACTCCACCCTCCTTGGGCCAGGCCTGGAGTCGGGCATGGGGCTGGGGGTCTAGAGCAGGAAACTGCAAGGCTGGGGAAATGGAGCTTTTACTATCAGGGCTTGGCTCAGGGTCCCTTTTCTCAGCCACAGGCCTGACCTAGTCTCTCTGACGTATCCGCCCCGGCCCCTGCCTTCTTAAATGCAAATGGCTAAACTCCCCATCATTTCCAGGCCCTTCCTAAACTGTCTCCTGTCTTCTTTTCCACCTTTACCTACTTGTTCATTCAACAAACACCTGCTGGGGCAGGGCTGGGCCCACCAACCCAGGGAAGGAAGGCCTGGCCCCCACCTGCTGCCTCAGGACTGCGGCTCCGCACCTCTCAACTTTTCCTCTGAGCTCCAGCTAGGCTTCCTCTTCCTCGGGTGTGGTAAGCCCCGTGCCTGCGCACACTCTTCCCTCTGCCTGGTACAACTTTCCCCCCTCGGCTTTCCGTGATCCCTTAGTCACCATTCAAGCCCTGGGTGTAAGGGCACCTCCCCTGTGACACTGTAATACTGTTAGTCATGATAAGAATACATACTTGGTTTTCATCTCATTCCTGGCACAGAACTCCTAAAACTCTCAGATTTTCCTAAGTGATCACATTGATAAGAAGTGAAAGGAGGGTCTTCTGCTTTTCCTAACGAGCCCCTTTGAATCACATTTAAGTTCACATTCATGATGGGGCGCCTGGGTGGCTCAGGCGGTTAAGCATCTGACTTTGGCTTAGGTCATGATCTCACGGTTCACGGGTTCAAGCCCTATGCTGGGCTCTGTGCTGACAGCTCAGTGCCTGGAGCCCGATTTAGATTCTGTGTCTTCCTCTCAAAAATAAATAAGCATTAAAAAAAAATTAAGTTCACATTAATGAGGTCACTTTTGGAAAGCCTGGTTGCCAGGGGAACGAACCATGTGACCAGAGAGCTGGAGACTAAGAGGTCTATCACCAACGGCCAATGATTCCGTCAACTGATCGTGTCCACATAACGAAGGCTCCATAGAAACCCCAGCCACAGGGTTCAGCGAGCTTCCATTGGTCAACACATGGCGGTGCTGGGAGAGGGGCTCACCCAGAGAAGGTGCTGGAACCCCGTGCTCCCCTCCCACAGACCTTGCCCTACACACCTCTTCCATCTGTTTGCTCTTGATCTGTACCCTTTATAACTTGGCGATCTATCTAGTAAGGAACGGTTTTCCTGAGTTCGGTGAGTTGCTCTAGCAAATCATCAAACCCAAGGAGGAGGGCACGGGGACCTCTGATGTACAGCTGGCTGGTAAGAAGCACAGGCGACCCCCTGGACTTGTGACTGGCATGTGAGGTGGGGTGTGGGGCAGCCTTGTGGGACTGAGCCCTTCACCGGGGGGGTCTGATGCGAACTCCGGGTAGACTGTGTTAGAACTGAATGGGAACCCCACATTTGGTGTCAGAAGTGAAGTGAGCAGTGCCTAGAGGAAGACAAGATTTTTCCCTCTTTTGGAAGCCTTCCCAGAATCTCTCCTAACCTGTGGAGTTACTGCTCACGTTATGCCTCATACAGCCTTTGCCCCACCACTTCCTACTGTCTGCTGTACTCGACTGTTCCCTAGTCTGTCCCCCACCCCCACTAGGCCCTCTCCGAGGTCAGGGTAGGGTTGGTTTCTTTCTTTCTCTTTCTTTCTTTCTTTCATTTGAAAGAGCGAGCTTTTTTTTTTTATTTGAGAGAGAGAGAGAGAGAGAGAGAGAAAATCTTAAGCAGGCTTCATGCTCAGCACAGAGCCCGATGTGGAGCTTGATCCCACAACCCTGAGGGATCATGACCTGAGCCTAAATCAAGAGGCGGATACTCAACTGACTGAGCCCCCCAGGAGCCCCGGGGTTGATCTAACGTGTATGATGCCTTGGTCACAAAATGCATGAATACCTGTTTGACGGGAGTGTCCATTCTTACGATCCTTAAAACAGCCACATAAAGTGATCACCGTTATACTACTTTACAGATGAAGAAACACATATTTATAATGGTATGAAACCAAACGGGGGAAAAACGTGTTTAAAACAAGCAGGAAGGGGCGCCTGGGTGACTCAGTCGGTTAAGTGGCTGACTTCGGCTCAGGTCATGATTTCACGGCTTGTGAGTTCGAGCCCCACATCAGCTCTGTGCTGACAGCTCAGAGCCTGGGACCTGCTTTGGATTCTGTGTCTCCCTCTCTCTCTGCCCCTTCCCTCCAACCCCCTCTCCCTCAAAAAAAAAAAAAAAAAAAAAAAAAAAGACCTACAATGAGCAGGAAAAATGAGACAAAAGTAAGGGCAGATAGAAGTCAGTCCACAATATAAGAGTGTGAGGCATTCCCTGTGGTCAATGGCTTGAGAAACTAAGGTTCTGACAGGTAAGCACCTCGCTCAAGGTAACTCAGCAGGGATCTGCCTCTACCACTCCTCGCACTAAGAGTAACCCTGTTGCTTAGGATAAAGCAGCACAACCATCTTGAGCCAGAGGTGAAGGTGCAGTCGCTTCCGCGGGGCCTCACAGAGAGCACGCGCCAGGTGGTGGGTAGCGGCTCCGTAGCTGCACAGGGCAGTTCTGTCGGCAGAGGCGGACTATGTACCCCGCAAGTACCTTACTGCAGCCCGGTCCCCAGCAGTGTGGCGTATCCCTGGGACATTCTCACAGGGTCTTCTCTGATTCTCAGCCAGGTTTCTGACTGTGTGGGTGGCTGGGAGGTCACGGTCATGTACTCCCTGGGCCCAAGATGGCCACTGGAGTGTGGGCTTGCGTTAGGGGAACCAAGCGCTCAGCCGGCAGCTGGCCTGGGGTAGGTGATAACCTTCCAGGTCAGGGGCAAGCTTGAGAAGGGTGGGGTTCAGGCCCTTGTGCCCCTGCTTGCCCAGGGCTCTGCAGAACATGGTAGGGGCCACTTCCACCTACACACCTGGGGGGTGACAGGACTTTAAGTTCCCTATTGGCCCTTCTGGCTGGGTATATTCTAGAGCAGGTGAATCCAAGCTGCCCCCTGGGCCTTCCAATTCTCAGTTCAGTCTCTGCAGCACGGCCAGCTCGGGGCACTGTAATTTCTGGAGTAGAAAATGGAGCGGCAGATGAGGGTCCAGGGCCCAGCCTCTGGAGTCAGACCTGGGTTCAGATCCCTGTTCTGCTGTGTGCCCTGCATCAAACCACATAACCTCTCTGTGCCTCTAAGAAGATGGTCCTAACCATAACACCCAGCATTGCTGGCACGTACGAAGGACCTAGTGAATGCTACCTGTTGTTACTACTATCAAATGGTACTCAAATAATGGTGGAGGTAATGTGTCGGGTGGAGTGACAGGGGCTCTGACGGGACCCACGGACAAGAAAGGATGCGGCTTTTCACCCCTTGCCAATCCCGAGCTGAGCCCTTATCCCTCTGACATGAGAGCCCTGCTCTCTGCCCAGCCCCCCAGCTTCCCAAGCAGTGTGTGTGGGAAAAGCCCTTTTTTCAAGTGAAAGCATCTGAGGAAGCCAAAGTCTCTCTGCGTTCAAACCCTTAGCTGAGGGCCCCAGGCAGGTTACTTTACCTCTCAGGGCCACAGTTTTCTCATCTCTAAAATGCCGATAATAAGAGCACCTCCCTCACAGGGTTGTTGCTTAAAATCAATGCCTGATGCACAGTAGGTGCTTGTACCCTCATGGAGGGCAGGAAAGCTCAGAACTGCCCCAGATGTGGTGAGAATGGGCTCTGGGTCCCCACCTGCTCAGCTTTCTTATCTTCTTCTCTACCTACCGGCTCCCTCTGAGAAGCAGCCACCTGCCTGACCCACTACACAGGCGCAGTTTCCCTCCCCTTCTCTGGACCCAGCTTCTGTTGGGTCACAAATGGGGAGTACTGCTCCCTGTCTCCCTCCCCTCCCTACAGCCCGCCGAGGCACGGTAGCTGCCACCAGGGCAGAAAAGAGGCCTCTTACAGGCCAGGCCTGAACATGAGGACTGCACTATGGGCCCCCTGAAACCTGGGCTGTACCTGGCTCAGTTGGGGGGACCTGTATTGGTCAGATGTGGGTTCTAGGAACAGTCTCCCCATAGTACCCACAGGAACGCTGTTCGGTGGTGGGGGTGGGGAGGAGGGAGAAAAGGCCACTCACCATTCAGCATTGGGGGCGTAGAAGGAGATCCCAAGGAGGATGAGTCATCCGAATCTAGGTACCACGTGGCTTCGTCCAAGCGGGACCTTCTCCTGGGGAGGGGAGGGAAGTCAGGCTTCGTGAATCTCAGGACTGCTGGGAGGTGGATGATGCTGGGGTGGGGGCTCTCAGGCACTCACCTCCCATTCTGGGCTTCCCCAGGCTTGGGGGAGCTGGGGCCCCAGGCCCAGCATGCTCGCCGCTCTCCATTGCTGGAGTCCTCCAGACGTCTAGGGGACTGGCGGCCCCATGCCTGGCCTGGGTCAGCAGGCTCCACTGGGGGAGGAAAGCCAAGAGGGTCTGAGCTGAGGTCAAGACCCCGGATCCTTGTCCTCCGCTCATGAGAGTCTGGCTCCAGGGACAACTTCTTAGAGGGTGGGGGATCAGGTGGGAGCCCACACTCTTCCGAGGGTGGGCTTTGGGCCACAGAGAATCTGAGCAGAACTGGGACGGGGGAGGTGGGTTTGAGTCCCGGGGTTAGCAGTGGGCTGGGGCATCTCATCTAGTTCTTCAGTTGGCATTTGCCGCTCAGTAGTTCGCACGCTATGGCAAACTTGCCTCAGTTTGAATTCTGGCTCTGCCCCTCATTAGCTGTGTGACATTAGGCAAGTTACTTTTTCCATTTTTCTCTTCTATAAAACTCAGAGCAAAGAAATGCTGCCCAGGGAACGCAAAGGTACGGGTCTAGACAGATGGGGGAGGGAGCCTGGATGTGGGAAGTTATGAGAAGCCGGTGGGATCCACCACCCCCAGGGTAAGGATACGGTGCTGAGGGGAAAAGCATGGGGAGAGAGAGGTTTCTTACACTGGATGGCCCGGAACCGGGGGAAGGTGGGCGAGTCCCCAGCCCCAACCTCGAAGACGTTTCTCCTCCGGTCCAGGCCGGGTGAGGCCTGCACGGTGATGCGGTGTTTGAAATCTGGGGTTGGGGGAGGGGAGGAAGCAGGGTACAGGTTTGTAGTGAACGAGAGGCAGGGTTCCAACGCTCCGGGTTCCTCAGTCGGCTCCCAGGCCACGAAGGCAGTTCAGACACGGTGGCTGTGTGACTGAAGCCGGCGTCACTTCTCTCCTGGGCCTCAGCCTCTCCAGAAGGAAAGCGGACTGCCAGGACCCCACCAACTGAACGTTCCCCGGAGGCGACCCGCCGGGTCCCTAAAGCCTTCCTAGAACTTTCGTGAGCCCCGCCCCTCTCCGGGCGCAGCCACTCCCCGGCCGCCATGCAAATATTTCCGCCAGAGCCCGCCCACACGGAAAACAAACTCCCGACCCCACCCCTTCCAGCCTTCAGCTCACAGTCCCACCCACCAGCACCCCAGACCAATCCCAGTGAGGCCAGCACAAGTCTGACTCCACCTCTCCGCTCATTAACCAATGGCTGGGCGGGGCGCTAGACCCCGCCCCTTACCGAGAGGCATGCTGATGCGCTCGCCGCCGTCTCGCGCGCGGAGCTTGCTGCGCTTGAAGGTGCCGCGGCGGCGGCGCACGTGTGGCCGCTCCCGGTCCACCTGTTGCAGCAGCAGCGTCAGCTCGCGCTCGAACACCTCCAGCTCCCACTGAGCCAGCAGGTGCTCGCGCCGCCGCAGCTGCTCTGCCTGTGACCGCTGCTCACGCGCCGCGCGGGTCAGCTCCTCCTCGCGGCTCAGAAGTTCCTGCGCGCGGGGCAGTGAAGGTGGTGGGATCAGCCCAGTACCGACCCTAGCGTCCGCCCCCACTCTCTGCCCCACCGAGAGCCTGGCGGCACTTCCCGGCATCTCTTTCCAATCCCGTGACGCCGACCCCTCCCACCTTTTCCTTGGCCCGCAGCTCGTCGAAAAGGCCTTGGATCTCACGCTTCCAGCCTTCCTGCATGGAATGGAAGGAGTCCCGCGGCATTTCCCGCAGGACCTGCGCCTCTAGCGCCTCCAGCTGCTGCAGGATGGAGGCAAAGTCGGGCCTGCGGTGGGGGTCCTGCGCCCAGCAGTCTGGGGACACGAGTGGAGGGGGGGACAGAATGAGAAGGGGTCTGTGGGTGGATGTGTCCTTTGCCAAGGAGCTCTGCCCCTCGCCCTCCAGCCCCATATCCTTACCTGCCATGAGCTGTGCGAAGGGCTCAGGGCAGGTGGATGGGATGGGCAGTGTGAGCTTGTTGACAGCTACTCCATAGGCTACAGCAAGGCAGTCGATACCACGGTAGGGCACCTCCCCAGTCAGCAACTCCCACAGCAGCACCCCAAAACTGTAGGCAAGACAAAGGGTCTGTGTCCCGTCTTCTGCTTACTCATTGCGATTGCACCCCAAAGCATCTAGGAACCAAATGATTTGGGTCCCTCCCCCTGGGCGCTGCCTGTCCCCCCAGCCCTAGATTTTGGTAGCCACCTCTGCCCTCTTCAGCCCCACGGATGGCCTTGGCCAGTCTCTGCCCAGGCCTCACCTCCAGACATCGCTGCCTTTAGAGAAAGTGGAGGCCTTGATAACCTCAGGAGCCATCCAGGCATAGGTGCCCGCAGCACTCATTTGTGTGGTTTTGTGCCACTCTCGGGCCAGGCCGAAGTCAGTGATCTTCAGGGTCTTGTGGTCCATGTCATCACCTTCAATGGGCTGCAGCAGCAGAACTGGGGAAAGGGGGGGGGGCAGGAACGTGGGTGCTCCATGCTCAGTTAGTGGAGACAAGGGAGGAGCTAGGAGCAGCCCATCATCTGACAGACATGCGGGCTAGCTACTAGAAGCACAGAGATCTTGCTCTGGAGAACTCACAGCTGGAGGCTGGAGTAGAATCAGACAAAAATAATAATGCTGGGAGACGTTAGTGGAGGGGCTGCTGGAGACCAGGCATTTACACCCAGCTCTAGCTCATTCACAAAACAATCTCTGAGGTACCCATCATTATCCCCATTTTGCAGAAAAGGAAACTGAGCAGAGAAATCGCTTGGTCAAGATCACGTGCAAATAAAGAACAGAATTCAACCTAGTCTGTTTCTAAACTCAGGGTTCTAACTTTTCCCTAATGCTGCACGGTGCTGAGACAGGAGTGTGAATTAGAACCTCCTTTGGGGTGGGGAGCAGGAGGGAACCCCGTGGTGAGAAAGGAAACCCGGCAGGCATTGCAGGCCCCCGGTGCCCAGGTCGCATCTTGGCTAGTGCAGCCACCCTCGGGGGGGTGAGGGTGTGGGGGTGGGGTGGAGAAAGACTCCCAGCAACAGATATCTACTGATGCAGTTGGATGTGAAGAAAATGGGGAGTCTGAGAAGTGAAGGTCCTTGACCAGCAGGGAGGAGCCTGGGACAAATACAGGAGTGGAGGTCAGATGTGGCAGGGGCTCATGGCGTTGACCCAAATGGGGCCACCGTACAACTTGAGAATCTCTCATCGGAACAAACGTGGAACAAACGTGGGTCAAATGAGAGAAGGTTTTGAGAAACAGAAAGAGGATAAAGTAGAATCATCAAGGGTTTGAAGGGGCCTCTCACTCTGCTGGTTACTGTAGAGAAGTGACATCCAAGCCAACTATGTTTCTGAACATATGTCATTTCAGGGAACACCCACCTCTCAGCCCTCCTGTCCAGGGTGACAGCACCATTATGGGAGCAGCTCAGGGTATTGGGGGTGGGGCAGAAGGGGTGGGCACCTAACCCAGCCTGGAGAAAGGGAGGAGGACTTCCTGGAGGAGGTGGCAGAACCAGAGTATTCACTTTTCCAGGCTTGAAGCCGTAACCCCTGCTCCTGCCGCTGGCCAAGCTCTCAGGGCTTTGTGGTGGCATCTGATACTGCCATCCACCCCCTCTCCGCTGTCATTGATTCTGGGGCCTCTGGCTGCTTGCGCTACTTGCGCTACTTCCTTGAGGTCTCCCTTACCCTCAGCCTTTTTGGTGCCAGTGCTCCTCTGAGCCTGGCCTCTCCTCCACTTCTGCCCACTGCCCCCAGGCTGTCTTGGCCTCTCCCAAGTGCCAGCTGCCCCCTCCATGCTGGACTCTCCCACATTTGAAGCTCTGGGACAGAAGCCAATTCAGCGGCCCATCACCGCCCCATCTGATGTCCAAATGCCCTCGACAACCACGTTCAGCATCCCACCGCACCCAGCAAATCCTCCTGCGATGTCTCCTCATTCAGAGAAGGGTTCTGCAATCCACCCTCTCCTCTGAGCTGACTCCCGAACAGTTAATAAAGCCGAGGATGGCAGCGAAACCCGCCTTAAAGGGTTGTCATGAGTATTTAATAAGATGACACTTTTCAAAACCTTAGAACAGGGTGTGACATCTAGTGCTGGGTGTCAGCCGTCCTACAGATTGGGCCTCAACCGTCTCGTGTCGACTCTCCTCGCTGTCCTCTGTCACAACATATTCCCTGCTTTGCAATGGCTTCTGGCCTAGGGCTGCTGGAGGCTCAGAAGTGGACTACTTAGTAAACCTTACACAAGTTCATTCCAAAGCAGCAGAGCCGCAATGGGGGGTGCGGCAGGTGGCTGGAGTGGCAGAAGGCAAAGGGGTCTGGAGAAGAACTCCTGGTCTCCCCTGGTGACAGGACCCACCCATCCTCTTGAAGACCAACTGGCCAGGTCTGCAGCTACTTGAACTTCACAGACTGATGAAGCCCTTTCTCACTAGCCTCTCTTTGCGGTCGGCTAATCTGAGGCCCAGGGACAGGCAGCCCCTCATCGAAGTCTCAGGACTTCTGGTGGCCTTCCTGTCACCTCCCACCCCCAACTGGACACCTTCGAAGCCTCATCCTCACCTCCGCATCCCCTGCTTTTTACCAAGCACCTTGAATTTGTCCCAACCCAAGTTGCTCCTCTGGTCTCTGATATAGACCTTGGGGGTGGGGTGACCAGGGACCATCTGGAGGAGAGGGGGCTAGAGATCTCAAGCTCTCAGCCCCCTCTTAGGGCTCCCTGGCCTCTGAAAGGGCCCTGGCCCCCAGCCCCCTCCACAGGCTGGCCTCTACAGGCCTAGGGAGGGGCCTAGGCAGCTCACACCTCTTCCGCTTCCCTCCCCTGGTCCCTACTTCTCCTTTCTGGGAGGACTGGTCCAGGTTTCCAACTGGTGGGGGGGAGCCCTTTGGGGGAGAATTGGGGGAGGTCAGACCCAGGCCGGGCTGGCTGGTCAGTCCTGTGACTCGTGGGCCTGGAGAATTCCCCCTCCACTCCCCGCCAGGCTTCCTCACAAGGCCCCCATTGTCCAGGAAAATCACGCCATTGTTTCCTGCCTGTGCCCCCCCAGCCCAGGGACTCCCCCCACCATCCCGCAGACAGCACCCCAGGCCTAGGACTAGGGTCTTCGAGGTGGGAGGCTAGGCTCAAAGAAGCTGAGGGAACCTCGCCTGCCCTTCATCACCACCCAGACTCTGGGAGAGAAACAGGGGAACTGGGGGTGGGGGGTGCAATCCCTGGCTCCTTCCTCTCCCATAACTCCCCCCCTCCCCACCCCTTGGCTCTTTCCTCCCCTGCAGGCAGCTGGGCTGGGGAGGGAGGAGAGGCTGGAGCAGGGGCAGGAAGCCCGCTCAGGGGCAGCAGGAAACGCAGGAAGCAGTGGGGAGGGTGGGGAGCAGGGGCCTGGGCTATTGTTCCATTTTCTCTGGAAAGAAAACTGGAGGAAAAACAGAAGAGAGGCCCCTCCCCCAAGGCCTTCGGGGAATCTCCCTCAGGCTGGGGCAGTGAGTGGGGGTCCCTGGAAGGCAAGGGCCAAGGAGTGAGGGTGAGAGTGGGAAGCGCCCCACTGGATGAGAGGAGTAGGTGGGGTGGCTGGCTGGCCTCCCCGAGCCCTCCAGGCCTGGCAAGGACTGGGATATTACTGGGTCAGGGCACTCTGCTCCCCATAAGCGACTTGTATATGGTCAGCTCAGGCCAGGCCGCCCAAAATATCCATGCTTAGCCCTCCCAAGAGCTTCCCATGCCTCTCCAATAACCCGTCAGCCCCCACTGCACCCCATGTTGCTCTACAGCCTGTACCCTGCGCCCCAGCAGCCCCAGCCCTGTGTCCCCACTACCGGGAGAGGGTGGTACACAGTGTTGGGTCCTGCCTCTTGGCCTGAACTGGCTGGAGATGGAGTATCTTACTGCTTGAGACTCCCTTAGCCCCACCACGCCCACCCCAACTGCTCGCTCCAGGGAAGGCCCTCTCAGTGATCCAGCCCTCAAATGCTCACACCCACAGCTGCAGACCCACTGTGTGCCAGGCACCAGCTGCCTGGCTTGCCCAGTCCCTTAAGCCATTTCACCTTCCTGGTCACTCCCTTTTTGCGGAGTTTGAAATTGAGGATCCAAGTTGAAATAAGACGCTAAAGGTCATGCAGTCAGGGGGTGTGCACGGGGCCAGAATTCCAGCCCTGTCCCCAGCCTTGACTGCCAGATGTGGGAAGGTTGGGGGGGGGTGCTTTCCTTTCCAAGATCTCTGTTCTGGAGAAGCTTCCCGCCATAAGAGCAGAGCAGCAATGGCACAAATGTGAACTTTAGGGGAGAAGAAGATGAGTGCTGGCATCTAGCTGCCTCGAAGTGGTGCCCATGGTTAGACGGGATCCTCATGGCTCACCTGAGATGCCAAGTTTTTAACTTGGCCACTGTGAGCTTGGCTTAAGGACTCCTTCTGAGGCTGGGGCATGAAGGACAGTTTGGCGCCCGGGGCTCCTGCTTTGGGGCCAGTGTGGACCCATGGCGCCCCTGGTCGACTGGGACTCTCCGGGGGCAGGAGGCTCCGACCTCCACTAGAGCCCCAGGTGGCTCGGCTGAGAGTTGGCAGGTGTGTTCTCGGCCCCTGCCGCCCTCCAACCACGTTCCCCAAAACTCACTGTTGTTGGACTTGAGATCTCGGTGGATGACGGGCACCAGGGCCTCACAGTGCAGGTAGTGCATCCCGCGGGCAATTTGCACAGCCCAGTTGACCAGCACGTGGGGGGGCACACGCCGCCCAGCCAGGGCACGGCTGAGGGGCCCGCCGGCCGCATACTCCATCACCAAGCACAGGTTGGGCTCCTCCAGGCACACGGCCTTGAGAGCAATGATGTTGGGGTGTGCCAGCATGGCGAAAAGCCGGGCCTCCTGGCGCACGCTCTCAGCTGTCACACTGATGTCCTCATCGGGGTCCTGGCGGGCCGCCTTCACAGCCACCAGTTCCCCTCGCCAGCTGCCGCGGTAGACCTTGCCGAAGCCGCCGATGCCGATCACCTCCTCCAGCCGCAGCTCTTGGAAGCTGGCCACCTCGCAGGGGGGCGGGCCACCGCCCCGAGACACATAGTTGGATGGAAAGATGCCCACCTGGCCGCCCACCTGGCCCGCCCACCAGCCCTCATCTCCTGAGATAGCTGCATCCCGGGACAGCACTTCCACACGGTCACCCTTCCTCAGGGCCAGTTCGTCCTGCCCATTGGGTTCGTAGTCAAACAGGGCTGTCCAAACTGGGTTGGCATAAGCCGCTGCCTTCGGGGACCCCTCTGGCCAGCCTCCGCCGCTGCCGCCCCCGCCGCCCCCACTGCCACTGCCGTTCCATGACCCCAGCGGGCTCTTGAGAAAGAGGTTCTTCAAGGGCTCCATGGCTGGGAGCCGAAACTGTGGCAAGTGGGGTACCTTCCCTGGGTGCCCCTGGTCCCCACCCCTGCTGGCTGCCAAGGCCCTAGTCCCGGAACCCGGCCATCCGGGCCCTGGCCCTCAGCCCCAGACCCAAACCTCTCTGGGGAGCCAGGAGTATTGCCTCCCGGCCCCCCGCATCTCGAGCTTCTAGAGGGCCACCCAGGGTAGTGTGGTCAGGCTCTGGGGGTGGGACCCCAGAGCCTCCGGCGTCTCACCATGGCCAGCTTGGAGGGGCCCGAAAGTCCCTCAGTCCCGGAGCAGTCCCGGGAGGCTGGCTCGGGCACTCGCCAAGCGTAAGGTGGGGCCAGCAAGGGGCAGCGCCTGGACTCTGGTTGGATCTCTGCGTAGGGGGTCGCCGGAGTGTCCCTAGTTGGGCCGAGCTGCCGCTTCCCAGCCCGGCTCCCTCAGCCCGACGGCTCCAGCCCCGTTCCCTTCTTCCTCCTCCCTTTGTACTTTGGCCCCGGGGGCGGGAGGCAGAGGTGGAGGGTGGAGTTTCACTTTTTTCCGCTCTTCTCCCTCCTGCAGGAAACAGCATCAGATGACGCGGGCGGGTGGCCCTGCTCCCCTCCCAGAGGCTGCCGGCGCAGGTCCCGGGAGTTCCCGGGTAGGCGGGCAATAAGGGGATGGGTAGTCCCGACCGCCCATCGCAGAAGGCTCAGGGTCAAGGTTGGTCTTTGGTAAAGACAGGCCATCCCCTCTGCATCCGCATCAGCAAAACGGGGTAAAGAACATGGCTTGGGAGTGGGGCAAACCCGAGTCTAGCCTTGGCTCCGAAGTTGAAGGACTGTGACTCATCTCTTCGCCTCGTTCCCTTCATGGCTGAAACAGAGACCAGAAGCTGTACTTTGTAGAGCTTGGGATGGGAGTGGGCAAGATTGGAGGGCGGTACTGGCTGCACCTTAAGCCCTTGGAAAGGGTTGTCTAAGGCTGTTCTCTTCTCACCTGGGAAACAGTCCACTTCTTCATGCCCCTTCCCCAGTGGGCTGAAACCCGAGACTGTCTTCCAGAATTTCGCCCGGTGATTGGATTCAGTCAGAATAGCTAAACCGCCCTCACAGCCGCTGGATGGACTCCAATTGCCTTGAGCCTGTCTCTTTAAGAAAGACGACGTTATCCTATTTCTATTACTCATGCCTGTTCTGGAGGGTTGCTCTCTACCCGTTAAATCTGAGCTCTGACCCGGAAGTAGAGGCCGTTTAGGGTGAGAGTTCGGGTGTGAGGTCCAGCACGAAAAGGGGCGGACCTAGAGGGGTGTGCCTCGGTGGTGCAGAATTGTCGCTGTAGCCCTGGGGAGGCCACGCCTCCACCCTCTTCCCGCCTCCTGTAACTCACTGGAAGAGTTTCATGCCCATTAATTCCGCCATCACCCAGTGGCCACTCAAGTATCCCTTCGGTTCTGCCCAGTGGTGTCTACGGGGGGGGGGGGGGCGTTGACAACGCCTAAGTGTGCGCATGCGCTGGAGCGCTACCACTTTGGGGCTCTTTAGACCTGGACTCTGCGCACGCCCAAAGGGCTCCACCGTTTCTTAGCGCTCCATCACCTTCCTGCGCGTGCGTCGGCTTTCATGCCGTCAGGTTTTCCTTTTCCGGGTCCCAACTCGGCCCGTCGCGCGCATGCGCCACTGTTGGCTGGCGGCTCGCGGTTCCTTCCGGCCTCCCCCTTGGGCCGGCTCCTGCAGTAGCCGGGCGAGCGCGGAGCCCAAAGCGAGTGACCTGTAACCCCGGAAGTGGACCTCAGGGTCCCGGGGCTCTCCCCGGGCTAGAGCCGAGGGAGCCGTCGCCTGCACCCCCGGAGCACCCACTCCACGCCCATCTCTGGATGCCGCCGACGGGTGCCCGGCCCGTGCCCTGCGCCTGCCTACCGGCTCGGCCCCTCGGAGCAGTTCTGGGCCGGGGGTGGGGGCCTGGACCCCGCCCCTGATGAGGCTCCACCCCCACGCCCAGGCCTCGCTCCGCTGACTGCCCCGGTCGGCCCCGCCCCCTGCCCGCCCCCTTGCCCGGGCGACCCCTCTCCCCCGCTGGGGGAGGCCATGGCGTGAGCGCGAGGCCGGGCCCCGGGGCCCTCGGGCGCCAGGCGGGGCATGGGCCGGCGGCCGCCCCCATGAGGGTCCCGGGAGGGGGGCGCGCGCATCAGCGGCGGGGCCATGGGGTCGCAGGTATTGCAGATCCTGCGCCAGGGGGTGTGGGCCTCGCTCACCGGCGGTTGGTTCTTCGACCCGCACCAGAGCACCTTCTCCAACTGCTTCCACCTTTATGTCTGGATCTTCCTGCTCACCTTTCCCTTCTTGCTGTACATGGTGAGATGCTGCCGCCACCTGTGACTGTCGCGGAGAGAGGGAGGGCGGATGTCAGGGAGCGGTGCCAACCTGGCAGGGATTCCCGGCTATGCCTCGGACCCTTGGGGTGTGGAGAGGACTCACTGCAGAGTTTGGGCTATGTGGGGGAGTGGCCAAATTATTCTTTTGTTGGGCTGGGTGACCTTGAGCCCCTCACTTAATCTGTCTCCAGTTAGAGGACGGAGCCCCCTGACGGTCTTTGTACCAGTTGTCACAAGGAATGGGCGATGAAGTCTTGTGGCTTTGCGAATCCTGGCTCTGACTGTGGTGGTAGGACTACCCCGTGGGGCCAGGGCTGTGTAGGAGGAACCTGACTTGCTGCCACCTCCAGGTCCTGCCCCCCAGCTTGATGGTGGCCGGTGTGTACTGCCTCGTGGTGGCTGTCATCTTCACTACCATCAAGACTGTGAACTATCGGCTGCATGCTATGTTCGACCAGGGCGAGATCGTGGAGAAGCGCAACTCTACCATGGGGGAGCCGGAAGAAGAGCCTGCACAGGGGGACAGCAGTTTGCCCAGGTGGGTGGGGTAGAGCCTGTGCTGGGATTTGAGGGGTCTTGGTGCCTGGGCTTAAGCACCGGGGGCTTAGGGAACATTGGCCCTGTGAGCGGTTGAGTGCTAGCTCTGTGGCCACTCCCAGACTTGTGAGAGGACCCTAAGAGGGGAGCGCCAGGGATGGTAGAGGAAGTACAGTAGGAAGGGGGGAGGTCACCTGAAAGCTGATGCTTTTCTGCACTGCCAGGGACCCTGGAGTGGAGATGACAGTATTTCGGAAAGTGAGTTCCACACCGCCAGTACGCTGTAGCTCCCAGCATTCCGTGTTTGGCTTCAATCAGGTCTCGGTGAGTGGTCCCTACCGTCAGTCTGTTCTTCTCCTCTCTCTGGAGCCTGTCCCCACTGTGGGTATGTCCCAAGCCTACGTTTTACCTCGTTTGTTCATTCGTTTGTTTGTCTGTCTGTCTAGGAGCTGCTGCCCCGGATGGAGGACTCCGGGCCCCTCAGAGGTAGGTGGCTGCGCTCAGGGCTGAATTTGGTGGTGTGGAACGGGATGGCACACCGGTGCCTTGAAGTCCTGCTGACACCTGTGGGGCCATGGTCGCAGACATCAAGGAGCTGGTTCGAGAGCAGGGCAGCAACAACGTGATCGTGACCTCGGCCGATCGAGAGATGCTGAAGTTAAGCTCACAGGAGAAACTGAGTGAGTGGACGTGATAGGGCAGGGGCTCGGGGGGAGGCCTGGCTATCTTGCCTTTGAGTCACCCCAAGGTTTGCTTCTCCGGGACTCTCTTTGTCCCTCAGGGTGGGGCCTCCTCATTGTCCTGCCCCTGCGGGGCTCTGGGGAAGCCGCGGCCTTAGGACTCTCTTAGCGACCGGTTCCTTTGGCAGCGTGGCCTTCTCTCATTTTCCGTCTTCCTTTTCTCTGATAGTTGGAGACTTTCCCCAGACACCCCCGGGGGCTGCCCCAGACCCCTCTCTCCCCAGCACAGACTCTTCAGAACGGTCCCCCCTGGCTGGGGATGGAGCCCCCTGGAGGGGGAGCAGTGTGGCTGACACTCCCATGAGCCCCCTTCTGAAGGGGAGCCTCAGCCAGGAGCTGAGCAAGAGCTTCCTGACCCTGACCCGGCCTGACCGGGCCCTGGTGCGGACCAGCAGTCGGCGGGAACAACGCCGGGCAGCAGGCGGCTACCAGCCCCTGGACCGTCGGGGCTCTGGGGAGCCCACGCCCCAGAAAGCTGGCTCCTCGGATTCCTGCTTCAGTGGCACGGACAGGGAGACGTTGAGCAGCTTCAAGAGTGAGAAAACCAACTCAACCCACCTGGACAGCCCTCCGGGTGGGCAAGCCCCCGAGGGCAGCGACACAGACCCGCCCTCCGAGGCTGAGCTGCCTGCATCACCAGATGCTGGAGTCCCCTCAGACGACACGCTGCGTTCCTTTGACACAGTCATAGGAGCAGGGACGCCACCGGGCCCAGCCGAGCCGCTCCTGGTCGTGCGGCCCAAGGACTTGGCCTTGCTGCGGCCTGGCAAGCGGCGGCCTCCCATGCAAAGACACTCCCCACCTGGCCGTGCCCCTCGGCGGCCCCTGCTTGAAGGCGGGGGTTTCTTTGAGGACGAAGACACCAGCGAGGGCAGCGAGCTGAGCCCGGCCTCCAGTCTCCGATCTCAGCGCCGCTACAGTACTGACAGCTCTTCTTCTACTTCCTGCTATTCCCCCGAGAGCTCCCGTGGAGCAGCTGGGGGACCCCGGAAGCGAAGGGCCCCCCATGGGGCCGAGGAGGGGACTGCTGTGCCCCCGAAACGGCCCTATGGGACCCAGCGGACGCCTAGCACTGCCAGTGCTAAAACGCATGCCCGCGTGCTGAGCATGGACGGGGCAGGGGGTGACGTCCTGAGGGCGCCCCTGGCCGGCTCCAAGGCTGAGCTGGAGGCCCAGGCGGGGCTGGAACTGGCTTCTGGTGAGCCTGCCCTGCTGCCTGCTGAGGCTCACAGGGGACCCGCTGCCAACCAGCCTGGCTGGCGCGGGGAGCTGCAAGAGGAAGGTGCCGTGGGGGGAGGTGAGTGCCGGCCCTGCCTGCGGGGTGGGGAGGGGGCGCAGGGAGGCGAGCTAGCTATGGGCTTGGGCTTGGGTAAGGGCCCGGCTGCAGCGGAGCTGGTCAGATCGGCTCAGCCTCTGTCTCAGGCAGCAGGTGCCTGTGGACTGAGTGAGTGGGTGACGCGTGCCGAACCCCCTGGACGAGCAGGACTGAGGGACCTCAGACCTCTGGCTCCAGGTCGTGCAGTTAGTGCAGAGCCTCCGCCCGTCGAGGATTCCCAGCACCTGCGTTTGTTGTCCTGGGCTGCCAGGGGGGGCAGGGCGAGGTCACATCTTTATGTCCGAGCGTGGAAACTGAGGCACAAGTGGTTAGCTGCCCCAGCTGGGCCTCCAGAGGCATACAGAGTTTGATTACGCCTGACTTGTTCTGCGTGGGAGCAGCCGCCCGCCCCTCCCCCCCCAGGCGTGTCCGAGCCTATGTCGCTTACACCTGGGGCCTCTCTCTGGGCAGCGGCGGAGGAGACTGGCAGGCGGGACCGCGCCAGCAGCGTGAGGCGGACTCAGGCGATCCGCAGACGCCAC